CTTCTCTGGAGACTCAGGGCGGCTTACAATGCATTAAGCAACAGCCTTCATACTTTTTTATATACCTGCTTAGTAGGGCTTTCGGCCCCCCCTAAGCGGTGTTTTTTTTTTTTTAATACAAGGACACAATCCGGGTCCTCATTTTACCTACCTTGGAAGGATGGAAGGCTGAGTCAACCTTGAGCCTGGTCAGATTTGAACTCGCAGTAATTGCAGGCAGCTGGCAGCTAAGTGCTACTTAACAGCACTTTAGTCTGCTGCGCCACCAAGGCTGTTTGTGGAACATAAATCATTAAATATTTGTTTCTGTAAAATATTAATAAAGTATATATTTTAAAAAATGTATAGGAGATTGTTTTTTTACTTAATCACAATCCAGATTGGATTTTCTTTAATCTTGTGACACATTGAATAGTTATTACTTTTGAGGTTAGAGAGAATATTCAAATAAAAGTCTTAATTTCTTTAGGTTTATAATTTAATCATTGCCTTTTTTTTTTTTTAAAAAAAAAGTTGTTTAAAAAGAAAAATCTACTATTAATTTTTAAAATAATTTTTATTACCTTGTGTAAGAAATAGTTTTGGCTTCTTATCATCCCTACCCATCCAAAGGCTGTTCTATTGAAGCTAGAAGAGAAAATTATACCAGACAAGTCCTTATCTATGCTTATTCAAATATATAAATCATACCTTCATCTAAAAGTAGGTTTGTTCTTTGAATGTGCATTAGGAGGATATTCTGTATGGAATATGGGAATTTTCTAAATATTGTTTTCAAGGGAGACATTTTCATCACGATTTGGTAAAAAAATTCAAGGCCTGTTATAATCCAACTAGTAAATATACACACATAACTGTTGCTTGCATTAAAAAGCAGGTCTGAACTGTTTAAAGAAATGCGAAATTTGTTCTATTCTGTAGATCCATTGTTAAGTACTTTAGAAGGTGATAAATGGTGCTGTAAGAAAATATAAGGGACAAAGATTGCATGTATATTAAAACCATACGGTAGAAGTTAAATAATATTGATGAACCTGAAAATGTGATACAATGGGAAGCAAATTTGGATAGTTTTCTTCAGAGGAAGACCTGTTCTTCAAGCTATTATCTGCATGGCGTTTCATCCGTGGTGTTTTTTTTTTTTTTTTAATTCTGTTAGGAAGGAAGTTATGAGTTTGGTCTAAATTACGGAGACTGAAAAAAAATCTGCCATCTGTCTGGTTGCATTGGTTTCTGCTGTTTCTGAAGTTGGTGGATTAAATGAATGACGCTTCTTGAAAAAGGAGCACCTTTAAAGAAAATGATGAAATGATGAAATAGGATCATAATGCAAAATGATTCTATTGCTTTTGATTTTGTTGTAAAATTACATTTAGATCAGGGGTGGGGAACTATGGCCCTTTTATGATTTGTGGATTTCAACTCTCAGAATTCCTGAGCCAGCTGGCAAATAAGGTAGAGCAGGAAATATTTCATTTGCCGTGGATGAGGAGAAGGTTAAAGGTGAAATTTGATATAAAAAATGACTGCAGCACATTTAAACTTGGGGTGGCTTTAAAAGAGGAAATAAAAGACTTTAAAAAAGAGATTAAGTCCAGTGGTGGGTTGCACCGGTTTGCACTGGTTCTATAGAACTGGTAGTAAAACCGGCGGGAGGCTCTGCCCACCGACCCCTATGTCATCAAAATGCTTCTGCGCATGCGCAGAAGAGTGTGTGTGCGCGCACTAGTGAAGCAAGCACGCAGGCACGGCCACGTTGTGAACCAGTAGTAAAGGTAAGTAGAATCCATCCCTGATTAAGTCCCCTCTTAATGGCTAGTAGATCGGGGTGGGTTCTACTTACCTTTATTACTGGTTTGCAATGGGGCCATGAGTGCTCTTCTGCGCATGCGCAGAAGCATTTTGATGACGTCGGGGTCGGTGGGCGGAGCCTCCCGCCGGTTTTACTACCGGTTCTATAGAACCGGTGCAAACTGGGGGCAACCCACCACTGTAGTAAATATAATGACAAGACAGTGTTTCTTTAAATACCAGGTGCTTGAGAGCCAGTGATATCTACAGTTTTGTCTTGCTTATGGATTTCATGCAAGGATGTAAGTGGCTGCTGTGAGAAATAGAATCCTAAATTAAGATCTCTTTGCTCTGATCCAAAAGCAATTTAATTTTTTTGTTAGTAGATTCAGATTGTTTCATCAGTAAATTGACTTCATATGAACATCCTATTTTTTTTAAAAAAAATCTGTATTCACATAATATGCTAGCTTGTAAGGAATAGAAATTTAATTTACTGAATTAATTCAAATTTTTGGGTTTCTACAATATACTGGCCATACAAAATAGCACCCACATATCTTAACCTAGATTGTTGTTCAAATTTAACCAATTTGGTAATTGTCAATTACAATTCTTCCAAAAAAAATCCACAATTACAAATAAGATTTTTTTGGGGGGAAATCTTTAAATGTATATTAATGTTTTAGAAGATAAAGGGTGGTGGTGAATATGATCCAAATATTAAGATTAATTTTCCTCTTATTTGGGATTCAAAAATTTATAGGCCTGATTTGGAAAATGAAGTGATAATGAAACCTCATGTTGATGTTTAGTCAGAATGAATGGGCAGCCATTTAGGCACAGATGAGAACAGCTTTTAAGTAATAATATTCTCATTATCTCACTACATTCATGTTAAAAATGTCTAATTAAGACATCTGAATATCTAAATCCAATGTTGGATATATTGACTGTTTTTTAGAGTTTTTATTTTTGTTACTAGATATTCAGCTGTCTTATTATTTAAGATATTTTAATGTGAGATTTATTAGCTGTCCAACTCCAGTGGAGGATTTGATTTTTTGGGGAACCTAGGTTGAGTTCACACAACATACAATAACTCTAAACCCATGTATTAAACAAAACAGAAACTCCACAGAAGTTATGCCTAACGTGTTAGATGTTAATTTAATATCCTATTAATATAAATTTGTTTGTTTGTTTATGTATACAATTACTTAGTGTTCATGTAACAGTGACATGAACATGGGCAACATACAAGGGTAAAAACACAGATGGTGTTGAGGATGGTGCCTTCTTTTCTATGATTCTGAACAAGTTTGGAAAGCTAGCTTTGGTCCCAGGCCTGGAGTTGATGTTTATTATTTGTTAAAAGCACATGTTTTATTTTGTTTATTTTGTTGTCTGTTGGATCACTCCAGTCTGTGCTGACTGAATTAATATTTTTAGCTGTTTTAATATTTTTATTAGTTTTGTACATGACCCAGAGTCTAGTGGAATGGCCAATAAATGTAAATAAATTTCCTTACTCTTTTCAACTCTAAATATTCCTTCAACATTTTCTATTAAAATTGTTTTTCCTATATTTGACTGTTCTCTTAATTCATTCTAATTAATGTATGCTTTTCTGAATTATTTTATCCAACACTGGGTGTAATATTCCACATGGGTCTTACTAACATGTGATTGGAATGCAGTCTAAAATCACTGCAGCGTTTTTTACGAAAATTAATATCTTCTGAAATCATATCTATTTTTGTAACCATAAAAGGCACTATCCTCATTTCTTAATTCATCTTACTAGAGCCTAAAGAAAGCTGTTGGGGAGGATGTTTTTAGGTTATATTTGCAACATGTACATATGGCTCATTTTGCTTCAGTGCATCTTTGATTAGTGACTCTTTGTACTATCTTAAAGGAGACAGTAATATTTTGCCAGCATTTTGAAACAAAAATGGCAATATAATGGGACATAACAATATAATATAGAATCTGTTGAACTGTAACAAGTATCTGTTATAACATTAAATCCAAATTCCATTCCCATTAAATTCTTAAATCTTTTTTTTTTGGGGGGTGGGGGGGATTATGTAGCAAACATATAACCCCAGGAAAAGGTGTAGCTTACTTAAGAGTTGCTGAAGATGCTATATGAGTGCCTGTGTGTGTCTTAATCATTATTTCACTTTCATCATGTGTGTATCAGAAATTTGAAATATTTACATCTACTGAAGCAGAAGACTTACGTTTCATTAATAGTGCATTGGGGAGTTTGTAGAATAGGAAAAATAGAGAGTTTCCATAAAGAATTAATGAACTGTCCCCCTTTTCCCATGTTGCTTAAATAAATATATTCAAGTAAAATTGCAGAAATCAACAACATTTTTGTCTGCGTCTCAAATCCGTTATTGGTGTTGCCTCCTTTTTTTGTGAAAATATGAAATAAACATTTCAGACAGGAAATCAGAGTTGCACAGATTTTTGTTTGCAGTTTATGTGTATGAGTATTTTAAAGACGTTGGAAAGAAGGAATGGTTGTTTTATTTAAGAAGATTTATTTTAAAAAGGCAAGGCCATTTTATAGAACAGTATTAAGAAAGAATATATAGATTCTATAGCTACTGATTTCAGTGGAATCACTCATTTTCAACATGGTCAGATAAAATCATGATCAGATAAAAGCTACATTGCAATAAATTGTCTATGTCTTTTTCTGAAAGTCATATACTCATGTCTTTTTTATGTTTGGCATGTAATGTGATGTTAGTGATACCAAATCTGTAAAATCTTACATATCATATATACAGAATACAAACACATGCGCACAAACAGGAACACTATCTTGTACTTATCATATATATATATATACATATATTCCCTTGGGATTTCTTCTTTTTCCAAATAATATGCTAGTGAGTAAAGCATATAAAGGCAGGATGATAGAAATGCAAAATCTATTATATCTTTGTCTATCCTTCCTTTCACCTTTCCTTTGCTGCACTATCTTGTCTGTCTGATTCTCACAGGAGACATGGACTACAGCTGGGACCATACATCTTGGCATAGCAGTGAGGCATCCCCAATGTCTTTGGTGAGACATGTGGAGCCTTACCATTTAGTTTCCTTTACCATTTCATGTTTTCTTTGTTTTATTTACATCTCAGCATGTTTTCTTTCTTGTATCCTTTTTTATCCCATGCCTGTAGGGGACAGTCAAAGGGGAAAAAGAAAAACTAGTGAGCAGGCAGTTTTGTCGGACTCTAACATCTTATCTGAAAGACAAAAGAAAATGGTGTGTTTTGGTGGCCAGTCTTTGGAAGAGGACTTGGAATGGTCTGAACCTCAGATTAAGGACTCTGGGGTAGACACTTGTAGTAGCACAACTCTAAATGAGGAACATAGCCATAGTGAAAAGGTATTGGCTTTGTGGTGCCTGCATTTTAATCTGCTCATTTGGTCTTTGTTTGCTCTCTGTCACTCATTAAAACAGATTAAGAATACAAAGGCAGGTCTAATCTAACATTTCTATGAGGTGCAGAAAAGAAAAACAAAACCACAATTATGGATCACTCTGTGGATATTAACATCCAAAAGTATAAGGAAGAACAAAATTATCCAGGCACTAAAAAGAAGCATTGCTTTCATGGACATGCAATACTATTTTGGTGATATTATCTTTATGATTAAACAATGAGAATTATTTCTGGATTGGTATGTTTAATTACCACTTTAATGCCCCTGGGGTTGGAAATTAAATTAATAGTTTATTTCCCAGGTTGAAAAAAATGGGAGAGGGGGAACTGTATCTATTTGGACAGAATTGTTTTTCTTTTTTCCCTTTCATTGCCATGTTCATTTGTTTTGTCACCGTGATATTATCTGCATTATGGGGGAGTAGTTGTATTTGCTGTATGTGGTTTATTATGACTCTTTCTTGCTTTCTGTTGTAGGCTATCACTGTTGCCAAATGTAATGTGCATGTTTATTTGTGTACATGTGAGAGCATGAAACTAGTACATTATGTGAAAAAGTGCTATGATTATACAAAACCAGATGTTCTAAATTTGAAATCATTGGCTAAATTTTTCAGAAATACTGATATGTATTATTCTGGAACCTGTGTGTAGTAAATAAGAATTAACTGTTCAGATATAGCTAAGAGAAAAGTTTAAATTATTAGTTCATTTAAATGAATTTTAGAGACTGAACATGGTGGGATTTATTTTCAAGTAAAATGTGGATTTTTAATTACTTAAGATCATAATTCATTTGTTAAGTTTTCAAGTATTTTTTGTGTTAGATCCCCCATTCATGCTCTCTATATTCAGAAATGATGTTCACTGTTTTCAGATCCATAATGATAAACTGAATTTGTTTTCAATGTGTAGGTATGATTTAGGTATATTTGGTATAGTTATTTAGGAAGATGTGAAAAATGTCTTCTGATAATCTAATGGAATGATACAAATTCTGATTCCTATCTGCAAAAGCAGTAATTGTGTAATCATAGCTATTTCACAGTACTTAATAGTGCCAAATAAATGTGATGCTGGAATTCCTTTTCACAAATTTAATTTTGCTGATTTTTATTTTGTTTAATGTATACTGTAGCATCCTGTAACCTGGCAGCCATCCAAAGATGGAGATGGCTTAATTGGCCGAATTTTGTTAAATAAGCGCCTAAAAGATGGAAGCGTGCCTAGAGATTCAGGAGCAATGCTTGGACTTAAGGTTAGTAGTCAAAGTTTTCGGTTCAGATGCAAATATTTTTTATTAGAAATAATTATTTTTTTTTGATATCTTAATACTGTTTTCCAAAACAAAGATACTACTTACAACCAATTAACAAAAAGTACTTAATGATAAGAGTCCATTGGAGTTGGGTGGCCAATAAGTTTGAATAAATAAATATTCTCTAGATGCTTTATTTTTTCTTGTTATAAATTTATTAAGAACTATTAATTAAAAGTTAATTAAATTAACTAATTAATTAAAATCAGACCATATTACAACTCTGTTCTGTGAGTTGCATTGATAGGCGGTTTTTCTTCTGGGTTTATTTATGGTGTTAGTAATGACCTATAAAGTCCCAAGTGACATAGGGCTGGGTTATTTGAGGGATTGGCTCTTTCTGGTTACAACTACTCATCCCATCAGGTCTGGGAGAAGGGGCATGTTACGGGTCTCACCCAGGAATATTATCTGATGGGATCCAGGAGGAGGGCACCACCCCTATGGAAAATAATTCTCCATAGGGGTGGTTAGGAGGTTAGATTGGTCCTAACTCTGTTGGCCTTCCAAAAGGGCTTGAAGAAATGGGTTTGTCATCATCTCAGGAGATCCAGTGATGGTGTGGAGTCTGCAGAATGATAGTACTATTAATAAAATGGATTGTACTCTCCTACAGTTTGTTTTTCTGGACTTTAATAGTTTTTAATTGTTTAAGTGTGTCTTAATGGTTTTCGTTCTTAATATTTTGGACATTTCTTTGTATTGTTTGGCTTTATTAAAATTGTGTGAGTTACCCAATCACATATGTGAGATAGGCAGCCATAAAATTTGAACAAATAAATACAAATTTAATAACATCAAATTAAAGCATTACCAATTCAAAATCTTTTTGAACTCAAAACAGTTCAGAAAGAGTATTTGAGCAAATTTGGAACAGGTTTGCAAGAAACGAGAAAGTTGGAATGTAAAGGCAAATAACATTATATGAATTTGTATGTATGTAACATTGAATGCCGGCCGTTATAGGTTGCTCAGCAACTTCATCTGATCAGTTATATGTAGTGTGGCTTAATATAGACTAGAAATATTGTGCATAATTTTAATACCTGGCTATATTTAGTATATTTAGCCTGACCTGCCCCAAAGTGTTATACATAATTATTTACATATACATTACAGATTAAATCTTTGATGATTTTCCTTGACAATGTAGTTAGAAGCAACTGGAGAATTAAACTCAATCCTCAAGGTTGAAAAATACAGATGCTACATATGTCATGCCCTCAGTTGTATGACTTTCATAAGTTCATTTTACATGAATTCAATTCCCACTAAGGGATGTGAGCCCCATTGAAAGATCATGGCTACAGATGTGTTATAATACTTATCTAAAGAATGAAACCTGTTGTGTACTGCTCCCTGATGGTCTCTATAAGTAAAAATACTAGACAAATACACTGTGTAATAATGAATTCGTTCCCTCTGAGGCTAGGGAAGTCATATCAAACCTTGTAAATGAGGGTATGTAACACCTGTATTTCTCTGATCTGAAAGCTTAATAAAAAGAGAAAGTGAACTCAAAATACCATTCTAAAGATAGTTCTTGCAGTTTAATATTTTTCCTGTATCTGTCACAGTCTTTTTCCCAAGTAGCGGATATAGTTATAGTCCCTATTAGTTTTTTGAGCAAATATCAGTTAACTAAATTGTATGACAGTATACAATTTTGGTGAAATCTGTTCCCAGTTTTCAAGCATTTCGTTGTTTAATATTCTATTCTTATTTGCCGCTTCCTAATCGTCATTCACAATTTTGAATAGGCAGAAGAAATGATCCAGTTCATTTACATTTTTAAGGGTTATCTGCAGTTTGTTGCCAGCTATAATCAAAATGATAGTGAAAAAAATAATAATAGACATCTTCGCGGAACTCCCTTGCCTTCTCAATTATTCATTGAATATTGGTAGTATTATCCTCGTTGCTCTTGCTTTTTCTGAATCAAGGTTGTACATCTGTCAGTTCTCTTTCAAGTATTGTTGATGTCTATATTGCAAAATCTTGAGGATTAGTTTACTGTTGTATGACATACAGTTGATTAGCAATCTGAGCATCCTTTAGCACAGTGCTTTTTGATATTGGAATACACATCTATATTTTTCAATCACTTGGCCACTGCTCACTTTTCCCTAGCTACTTATACATTGTCACTACCTACCTCATTTTGCAAAGTTTAAAACACTTCTGTTAGTATTTCATCAATTCCTACAGCTTTGTAGTTTTCACTATTTTCTACGACCCATTTAACTTCACTTTCCAGAATGTTATTCAGTGGTACATATTAATTGATTTAGGAATATTTTTTCGACAGTTCTTCAATATTGCTGAGCACATTGTAAGCCGCCCTGAGTCTTCGGAGAAGGGCGGCATATAAATCAAATTAATATATATATATATATATATATATCAATTTTCTTATATATATATATATATCTATATATATATATGTTCATACTATCTCTTGTGCATTTCTTCAGTAGATCTTTATACCTCTGTGTGTAACTCATATTTCTCATGTTTGCACTGTGCAGGTTGCTTCCCTACAACTATACTTTACACATTAAAAATTAAACTTTAAAAAAAACTTATTTTTTAAAAAAAATGCATTAGGATTCCATTACACACTTTTAAATATAGTTTGGAATGAATAACAGTGTTACAAACAGAATTGTTTAATGAAATTATGCATAGATTCTTGGGCACTTACTTATACATATGCAAAAAAATGTTTTGACGTTTGTGGAAGTGATAAATTTTCTCACATTATAACAGAGGACTTGGATACTACTTGCAACCATTTGTTTAGCAACCCTTTGAAGTTATAGGGCACTGAAAAAAGTGACTTCTGACTGAGCCTCAGAATTACGACTGCATTCCTGTGGCCACATGATCACAATTTCAGCACTTGGCAATTGACATGTATTACAACAGTTACAATATCCTGGGGTCATGTGATCGCCATTTGCAGTCGCTAAACAAGGCAGCTGATAAGTGAAGGTTACCTGTATGTTCAATTTTTGTGTGTCCAAATACTATATAAACTACTGTGTTTCCTCAAAAATAAGACCCTGTCTTATATTTTTTTGAACCCCGAAATAAGCGCTTGGCCTTATTTTCAGGGAGGTCTTATTATTTTGGGGCACGTGAAGCAAGATGGGGCTCCTCTTGCCGTCTTACCTGATTTCCAGCTCTGCATTTAAATATTTTCAGGGCAGGCTTATTTTCAGGGGGAGGCTTATTTTAGCACATCTCTCAAAAGCCCGATTGGGTTTATTATCAGGGAATGTCTTATTTTTGGGGAAACAGGGTATAGTGAACCAATTTGCAGTAGCAATAATATACAGTTCATATTTATATGTTCTGTAGATACATAGAGTTTCTGTATATGAAATTTGTCATTAGGTTGATGGAGGTAACCTTATTGAACTAACAGATCTGAACTAAACCAGCTAAAAATATTTCTGGAAAATACCCATAAAAAAATATTGGCCTACTTTTTGTGTCCTGATCATTTAATCTAATATATTTGATGTACGTTTAGGTTACCAAATTAAAACTGATTTGAGGAAAAATGATCTTTATGAAACTTTAAAATATAATTTTAATCATATGTTTAAACAGGTAGTTGGAGGAAAGATGACTGAATCAGGTCGACTATGTGCATTTATCACCAAAGTAAAAAAAGGAAGTTTAGCTGACACAGTTGGACATCTTAGGCCAGGTAGGAGAACTGTTTTGAATTTTTTAATTGAGAAAGGATAGCTTTGGTTTAATGTATGTTAGCAATACTGAGATGTACAACTGTATTATTAAAAACCTTTCCTCGTAACAGTATATTTTTTATTTTGTTGTAAAATTTGAGATTATTCATTCTTAGGGTTTTTTTCTGCATATGTGATGTGTACGTTTTTATAATGATATTTACAATTATGGCAGATAAATAAGAAACAAATGGTAATGGTGGGAAGATATGATACTCCATATCTGTTATTTAGTTGAAAATAAAAAGTGTGAATTGGAAAATATTTGTCTGGGCATTTTAATATTTGGTCATATTCAGAAACTTTTTCAACTTCGTCCCTGATAGTTTACAGTTTTAAAGCTAAAACACAATATTTTGAATTGAATATAGTAGTATAGACACAATCTATTTAATTTAAAAGAAATTAGAATTAAATTTGCTGTTTAAATTACATGAGGGAAGACAAAGTATTTTAGATAGTAAAAAGAAAACAGATATTTCTCTGTTTCTCATAGAATCATGTCTTCTTGGTGTCTGAGATAACATTACTAGTGAGATAGAATTTTTTTTAGGCTAAGCATTTTTAATGAAGTCCCATTGAAAAATAAAGAACATTTGTTGTGTATGATGTGGTTGAGATCACTTGCTTATACTGGTGTTCCAAAAAGTTTTCTGTGATAATAGCACTTAGATTTAAATTTATATACCGCTTCACAGTGCTTTACAGCCCTCTCTAAGCTGTTTACAGAGTCAGCATATTGCTCCCAACAATCTGGGTCCTCATTTAACCCACCTTAGAAGGATGGAAGGCTGAATCAACCTTGAGCTTGGTGAGATTTGAACTACCAAATTGCAGGTAGCCGGCAGGCCGTAGAAGTAGCCTGCAGTACTGCACTCTAACCACTGTGCCACCATGGCTATAATGGATTATAGCTTACTTATTTCATGGATCCCCATCTTTTTGATTACTTGTCATCAACTTGGTTGACTCTTAATGATCACATGAATAGATTTTCTCCCCAATTTAGTTCTTCAGATTTTCCAGTGTATGGTACATCCACTATCAGTGCAATTGACTGAATTGATATTGCTGCTGTTTCTTTTCATCTTTTTATTTATTTATTTATCTTATTTATTTATCTTATTTATTTATCTCATTCATTCATTCATTCATTCGGAAAATGGCATATGGTTTCATCCTCAACTTAAAGGTGTCCTTCAGTTATATCCAGGAGAAGCCACTTGTTGCAAGCGCTATTTAAAATAAACATCTAACATGAAGGTTGTGGAAAACATTGTCTTATTTTAAATATTTTTATCATTTATTTTGTTTTCAGTTGCAGTGTTCTATAGAACATATTAAAAGATAAGTAATGTAAGGTGAAATAATGTTGTACATACTTTATTTTAAGGACTAATATGCTAATTAAAGTAAATTTTTCTTTTAATGGATATATTTTCTGTTTAAGTATAAATGCATTATGTATTATTGAACAAAGCTCACATATAGCCTTTTTAAAAAAAAATTAAACTTAAGCAAATTATAATCATCAAATGACACTAACACTGATAAGGGTTCAGAGATCTAGTTTTCTTCAGTAAACAGATTGTGATGGTTCTACTTTTAGGTGATGAAGTATTAGAATGGAATGGAAGGCTTTTGCAAGGAGCCACTTTTGAAGAAGTGTATAATATCATTCTTGAATCCAAACCAGAGCCACAAGTAGAACTTGTAGTTTCAAGGCCAATTGGGTGAGTTATATTATAGAACGCTTCTTTAATTACTGGTATTTAAAATTTGCACGTAGTCTTATTAATATTCATGCTGAGTTTATAACTTACAAAAACAAAAAGATTAGAGAAGGTTTAGTGTTCTGTAACCAATTAACATTCATCCTTATTTTGCTTCCTTTTAATACTCAGATGTCTTGATTACTGCAATGATTATTGATATCTGTGAAATGTGATCTCCTTATGTAATGTTTCATTTTTTTTAGCTTTTTAAGACAATGAAGATCACCTATATATTTTTCTATATTGCATTTTATACAGCTGAAAAGAAAAGTACAAAATACTGTTTCCAATTTGATTTTGATATTCAGAAACGTATTCTGAATAAGAATATTTTTGAAGTTTCAAGTGTTTTATTATATTTCCCTTATTTTCACATTTATTACTGTATTTTCCCAAAAATAAGACCCTGACTTATATTTTTTTGAACCCTGAAATAAGCGCTTGGCCTTATTGCCATGCGCTCAAAAGCCCGATTGGGCTTATTATCAGGGGATGTCTTATTTTGGGAGAAACAGGGTATATACTAGCTAGCTGTGATGGTTAGATACAATATGATTATATTTTGTTCTTCATAATTGCAGGGATATTCCCAGAATACCTGACAGTACGCATGCACAGTTGGAGTCCAGTAAGTTTTATTTTTTAGATGTAATATCCATCTGAAAATTGAGGTATAGCTACTTCTCTATTTCTACATACATATCTTTGTTATGTTTTACTCTTTCTTTAATAACTGTTTTGTCAGAAATCAGTAAATACAATGTTAATGTCTTCTTACTATTCTTTACTGAAAAATATCAAACATCGGTAAATTAGAATTGATGTTGTTCCTATCTTTTAAGGTTTTTAAATCTCTTTTGTTTATTGCAATCCTTAAATAAAATGTACACTATGATGATAGAGAGTTTAAAATAATAATGTTGTTACTGTTGAGAAATGTCTCTGTCATTCAGATATGGCAATTCTATTTGTTTTTGAATGGGGAAATAAACCCTACAAGTAAATCTATAGAAGATTGCAGATAAAGTGGTATAAGGTTTAGCTTTGTCCCACTGTTTGCTGTACAGTAGGATATACTAAAGGGAACAACAGTTTCAATATAAAATGCTTGTAAAATAACCACATGGCTTTTCCCTTATATTGACTTTCTAAGCTTGTTTAAATTTCCAAGTATTTTTATGGCTTTAGGAAAATTTAAACATTAAATATATCACACAATTGTCAGCAGTTTCAGTGTTTTAGTAGCACAGCCTGTAAAAAACTGCAATATACTTTCTGGAAAAAGAAAATTACTCATTTTTATAATTTGTTTTTCTAATTGTAAAATGTTACTGAAGTTTATTTAATCCAGAAGTAATTTGAGAAGCAAATCAATTTCTCTGAGGAGCCAAATATAGCCAAACATGGCAAATTGCAGAATGTTAGTCTTTAGATTGTCAGGGGTTATAATATCTATAATTTATTATTTTTAATTATTGATCCACATTTGTTCAGCTTTAGTTGCATTCCTTTCACTTGCTTAATGTTCTACGGTATTTAAATAATTTTTGGTACATAATATATATAAATTTTATAGTATGTTTGTCAATGTTTGAATGCTCTTTTTTTACATATAAAAATACAGAATTATGTATCTGCTAATTTAATGAATTAAAATGAATTATACTTTCAGGTTCTAGTTCATTTGAATCTCAGAAAATGGATCGGCCTTCCATATCAGTCACTTCTCCCATGAGTCCTGGCATGTTGAGAGATGTTCCACAGTTTTTATCTGGACAACTTTCAGTATGTAAACAATTGTTGAGTGTAGTAATCCTTGTTTTTTTATCAATAAAATTTTTCTTAAGTGACAATGTCAAGTATGCACTAAAATGGTTTTACCTTGATTTCTTTTTTCATTCAGTTTTTTCTCAACACAAAGTAGTCTACAGCCATTTTATACTGTATTTGGAATATGTATATGTTAATGCTAAATTAATTGAATGTTATATGTAACAGAATTGTATCTACATGCACCAACTATGAACCAAGATTCGAGGGGAATACAATCCTCTATTGATAGAATTAGATAATTAGACTTATGTAATTTAAGCCACCCACACAATGTTCCTGGCAGATAGTTATGTCAGGGACTGGTAGCCTTTTTTCAAGGTAATACCAGGTAACCTATACTTGGTCTTTGATTGAAGTAACAGAAGATGCTTTCCAAAAAGTAGGCATGTCTTGATCCACAGTAATACAATTAAATTAAATTAAATTAAATTAAATTAAATTAAAATGTTTATTCTCTGTGCGGTTAATCATTTCTCTTTTCTAAAATATTAAATATTAAAATAAAGTAAAAAAATTTGAGGGGTTCTCAGGGTCTTAGTTTGTTATGGGGCTTATTTCTCTACCAGCTCTTATTTTTCTGTTTCTTTATTTTGAAATAATAATAGTGCTTCCATTCTACAACATATCCAGACAAGGAGGACAGTAGAACAGTTTTCAACATTCTTTTAAAGTGTAACAAAATTTGTACATGTTTACATTGGAGATTGGGTGAGTGGGTAGTGTGTACCTGTGCAACGTCTTTTCCACAATATTAGAATCATCATAATATTTTGCAAAAGAATACACAGCAAAAGTATAAAAGAGATTAAAATTTTACCTACTGTATTTCATTATTAAATCTAAGGTGGGTAACTATTTAAGTCTGGGGTGATAATGTGTCAACAGATGCCATATCTCTTTTGCTGATTATAGTAATCATACAAAATTACCACTCATCATTTTCATTCTTTGAAAGCTCTTTGGAAGGCTATTCTTTTTTGAAGAGGCATAAACAGAGAACATTTGAATTGATGAGTAGAATTTATGACACCATGGCTGGTGGCACAACACAATTATCTAAGTGTATCATATTTTCTGATTTAGTTTAAATTCAATCTAATTTTCTGAGCTAACACACTGAAATGTAAATTACTTTGCAGCATACTTATGCTGTGATGGAATAATTTGTAATCTAGTAGTGTTCTGTGAACATACCTATTTTTGTTGAAAACGGTGCTTTTTAAGAGTTTTTGAATTAGAAAGGATCTGATTTCTTTGAAACTATTCAACAGTAGTATATCTACAGTTACTTTTGACCCAACATGATGAATTGTATTTATTTATTATAACTCTGCTCCCAGAATACTTACTATAAGATCTCAAGATTGCAAAGTACCTTACATCCATACTCATTAATAAACACTAATAATGAATATTAATAATAAGAAAAGAAAGCACAAAGAAGGATTCCTTGTTTGAAATAATTCAATTGAGTAAGCAAGTTTCTAAATATATTTTATGGGAGAATGCTAATCCAATCCTAGAGAAAGAAAAGAGAGAATGAAGTTAATGATGGATAATAGTTCCTGCTGGTTTTTGCCAAATTTTAACTTGGATAAGTAAGAAATTATATGGCCAAATAAATATACAGGTAGTCCTCAACTTACAACCACAATTGATCCCAAAATTTATGTTGTTAAATGAGACATTTGTTAAGTGAATTTTGTCCCTTTTTATGACCTTGTTTGCTTCAGTTGTTAAGTGAATCACTACAGTTGATAAGTTAGTAACCTATCAACAACCTGGTTGTTAAGTGAATCTGGCTTCCCCATTGACTTTGCTTGTCAGAAGGACACAAAAGATGATCATATGATCTTGGGACACAGTAACAGTCATAAATATGAAGCATTTGCCAAGCCTCTAAATTTTGATCACATGATCATGGAGATGCTGTAACTGCAAAAAATGGTCGCTTTTTTCAGTTCCATTGCAACTTTGAATGGTTACAAAATGAACTGTTGTAAGCTGAGGAGTACCTGTAATAGACTATTTAGAATTTACCAAAAATGAATGTCAACATTATGAGATATTATTTAGTTTTGAACATTTCATGTGCACATTCCATATATTAACATACTCACCTGCATTATTTGATACATTGTTAAAGCTTTTTATAATTAAGGAAACTTGTTTTGCCCGTACAGTGCAGAGTTTATTCTGATGCTGGATAGAAATTTTTTTTTCTTGGTCGGGAATGGAGAAAAGATGTAGAACTTAGAACAGTTATGGTATTATGTACAGTATTTTCCTTTTTGGCAGATGTTCCCTTGTAAATCTCTCAATGGAAAAGAATGAGAGTGAGACTATTCCCATTCATTGTAAGAGTCTTTATTTTCACTCTTATTTATGTTATTAAATTTATATAGCTTGCCCATCTTAAATATTAATTAAATGTTGCATATAATAAATATTAAATATTAATACCTTGGGCAGCAAACAGCACATACAAAAATCACATTAAAAACCTTAATCAATTAATCAATTAAAATACTACAGTACATATGGCATTACAGAACTTACTGTATTGGTTTCCTATGCCTTTACTCTGGAGGATGTTTTATTCCTCCTCAATTACTAAGTGGGAGAAAAAAAAGATTGCTAGGCTATTTGAATATCCTTATTGACCCATGTTGACAGTTCATCATGCTTTCCTACAGACTAGACCACCCAATTGTAATCCTGTCTACGGACAACAACCCAGAATAGGTGCACTATAAAATTCATAATTGGAAAATTAATAGGAGATGCATACATATTTATCAAGCGGGTACATACATAAATATTTTAGAGGGGTCTATGACAACTGGCCACAGCCAACTCGCCACAGCCAATTCACCTTCCATGGAACAAGTGTTACACTAATATTGAAGAAATAGTGGAATACAATCATTAAAGAAAGGATGCCAAAAGAGTGACAAAATGAAATGTGAATGACAAAAATTAAAATGTTTTAAAAATTATTTTAAATAATTAAATTTAATTATTAAATTGTCCCGCAGCAAGTTGGCCGCAGTGAATTGTCTGTGGTGAGTTGGCTGCGACAAGTTATCCCATTCCGACTTTAGAGTGCAGTTCTAGGCCTCCCGCTATTCTAGGGAAAACATTACTTATATTTGGCAAGTGTTGGTCATTATAACATTTTAGCTATCTTGAGATTTCCCATTCAAATGGAGCTCAGTTTATCCATGCAGTATGCAAAGATTTTATAGCCAAGGTCCTTTCTCAGCTTCTTTAAGCCTTTTTTGAAGAAACCTTGACTTCCTAGAATCCATTTAAATTTCCCATTTAGTCTAAGTCTACTAGAACTTGCAATTCTAAAATGAATTCAAAATATTGATTTATGTTTAGAGACAATCTTGATCTCTGTGGATACTGAAGCTTGGTAGTATCTTTTTAACTTTTGGCATCATTAGTTTTTGGAGACTGTTTTAAAATGACCTTTAAGTTATTGGCAAGCTTCACTTCCTATGAATCTTATTGGAGAACCTTTGCCATTACACTTTGAAAATAGCAATATTCTTAAGAAGAATATCTGGGACATTGATCTTCAAAGCAATTTAGGTCTAGTTCCCAGCCCCTCAGCTGATGGGTTTTTTTTCCCAAATGAATATGTGCCAGCTTCCAACCTCTTACCATCAATATTCTGAAATTTTGCTGGGCTTTCAGTTTGGCCAGACTGGACACATTGCTTTCTGCTGATGGAGCATTACAAAAATATTATCAGCTATTATCAGGAACAGCTCAGTACAGGCAGTCCTTGGTTAATGAATACTCATTCAGCAATTGTTTGAAGTTACAATTGTACTGAATGAGTGATTCTTATAATCAGTCCAAAAAGTTCTGGCTATCCGAGCACCCCTGTAATTGCGATCTGAGAACTTAGCAACTGGCTCGCAGCATCCCACGGTTTAATCGTTTGCAAATTTCCCTGTCAACTTCCCACCAGCAAGGTCCATGGGGACGGATGATCTCATTCACTCTAGTAATTCTCCCCAAATCCAGTCTGGTCATGTTCCTGTTGCACCTCACCGACCAATTGGACACCCTACCATACATGGCCGTAGCCACCTGCCTGCATGCTTGTGAGCCGCCTGGAACTTCTAACTTTCTGCCGGCTTCTCCTCCTTCCTCCACAGCAGAAAATTGTTTGGAGGTCCTTGCTTAATGATGGCAACAGGGATGATCACAATTACTGTTGCTAAGTGGTGCAATCATGTGACATCATTATCCCAATTATCATCATTGCCAGTGGAATCTTTCGGCCGTAGGTTCCTTTATTACTCTGCTATGTAAGAAATTTCAGATGGCTTTTATCTATCTTATCCTGAAGAGATTTCCTGTCACAGCCTGAGTTCTATTTGCTATTTCTCTTGTCTTACCATTAGTTGGATATATTCTCCCAGATTGCCCAATTGTGTTCTTCCATATGTACCATCCCTCCCTCCTTGTGTTTGAAAAATTGTATTAATTCCTTATTCATACACACAAACATATATTTCATTTTTAATTGTTTGTATTTGACTGCTGATTTTACGGCTGCGGTAAAGGTTTGATTTGCTTTAATTTGATTTGATCTGATTTGATGCCTGCCTACCTCTGCTCATCCTTCTAACTCATGCATTCCCTGCTCCCCTTGTGGATCTGGGATTTGCAATTTCTCTTAATTTGACTGAAAGCTTTTTAGAGAGTTACAACTCACGGATTGAAAACCAATGCCTTGTTTTTCCTTTATTTCATACCTTCATGCCTCTACCTATACTTCTAAATCTCCTTTCTTTCATGCTATGACTGTTATATATTGTTGCCAGGACACTGAATATCTCAACTTCCGTTATCCTGGAGCTACCATTTGCTCCTTCAAATGAAAAAGAGAAAGAAACTGTTGAGAAGAGAGAGGCCATAGAATATGCAGAGACTTTCCCAGTGTCACATTTGAAACTGACAGTAATCTGCAAAGCAGCTTTTTCTAAAGTGGTCTTGAATATTAAAATAAATTGACAATCGTATAAATACATGTCTAATGGATAAATAAAGAAATAGGTTCCATAGGCACCTAATGGAAGCCATAGATGTCATTCATGACATGACATCATTGCAATAATGATATGAATTACATAATTTGTATAAGGAACATTACCTATATAGAATCTGATTTGCATATGTGTGTGATGACCTAATGACATGTACGGCATCCTCTTGTCCAATTATAAATGCTTTTGAGCTATATGAAGAATTCATTTCCTTATTTTTTCCAAGAAAAATTAAAAGGAAATATGTAAACAAATAGGAGAGAAATATATACAGTAATATAGAAATTACAGCAAATGTGATTAAAACACTTCCTGAAATATGATTAACAATTTATTAGTTTTTTCATCCTCCTAATGAGAAGGTACAAGCGTATAAAGATGATCTTTTAATAATCTAGAGATTATTGAAGTGAGCTAATGAAATGCATTTTTACAGCATTTTTAAGCACTGACTCAGTATAATAAATAAATTGTACCACTCCTTTGAAACTATTAAAGCAGACCATATTAATTGGTAGTGTGCTAAAATAAATGAGCTCATTGAAAATGTTAGTGAGACCCCGTAACGAGTTTCACTGTTAAATCATTTTAAGGGCCAGCTGTAAGGGTAAATTGAGGTATTTTCGCTTATATTCCATGACATTGGGTAATATAATCCTACATATTCTAATGGAAGACTAATTGAGATTAATGGGGTTTACTCTCAGTTAAGGGGTTATAAATTTGCATTGTACTGTTTTTTAAGTGGCTTTATTTTAACTTGCATTGAACATAAAGAAGTCTCTTAATAAAGGCATTGGAAAGGACCTGAATATTAAATAACTGTGAATAAGGGCAAACACATCTTCAGGACATGCCAATCACAATGTGAAGCAAGTCAAATAAAAATCTTATTAATAGAGGAACATAAAGGATGTTTACAGTTTTAATACATCAATTTTAACACTTGCTTTTAAATAAATGTGTTCTTGGTGTATGGCACTATTTAAAGTTGTGTGTCCTTGTTTTAATTTTGGTCTTTTAGTTTCTAGTGTGTTGTCTTTTTTGGCTTTGTTTTACTGCTTTTTCTTTAATTTTGCTTACCAGAGCCAAAGCCTTAGTAGAAGAACAGCGCCTTTTGTTCCTAGGGTTCAGGTAAAGGCTTAATCTGCCTGACAGAAACTAAAGTTTTTTTCTTTTTGGTTGTTGTTGTTTTCTTGGAAAATGGATAGTAGGAAAATGTCACCGTTGGTCCGTTTTCCCATTTTAATTTTTGAATGTGTTGTTTTAGACCATCTTAACAAATATCATATTGTCTTGTGTACAGCTTGAAAAATATTGCATGGATATCAGAACCCTACATTGAAATTTAAAGAGACAACTAGCTTTTAGTTTTGATTTTATCTATATTTAAAGAGCCATAGACATTAATAGATATTAATAGTAATAATAATTTTGAAACTCTTCTGCAACTGTGTACCTTGAAATAAGTGATCTGTTCTTTTGATATTTGTACTTGTATATTAAAGTTGATGTCTCTTTAAATCATTCTCCTTTTTGCATTTTCTAAATGACATTTCCTTGAGAAGATGGGCAAACAAATTTGTTCTCATCTAAGAAATTTGCATCTGCAGGCATTTTAAGATGTTAATTGAAATTGTGAAATATAAATGATTATAATTTTTTTGTTGGTGATGTTTAGTGTTGATTATATTTGCCTGTTTTATTCAAATACAAATTGTTTGCCCTTTCTCATTAGTTATTCCTTAAAATACTATAGATCAACCAACCTGTAGACTGTATAAGAATGTCATTATGCTTATTTTGCTGCATGCTTTCTTATTTATTTTCTTTTATTTTGAACATGGAACATTACTCATTTTTATAATATTCGGTGATTTTGAATTTAGACATGATATATGTAGTTCAATTCCTAATAAATCCAGCTTAGTTGAACAATTAATCCTCTCAAAATAGTCCTTGAAAACTATAATATTACAAGCTACTCACCTGGATGTTATTAAAATCAGGCTATATTTGAGCAGTATATAGCACACTATTTGAATTGAAATTAAGAAGTTAGTATGGCATATTTTGATTGTCTACGAAGACATTCATTGGATCAAAACATTTTGGAATTACAACTGTATTATTCATCTGATATTAATGAAAATAACCAGTTACAGGTAGTCCTTGACTTACAATCGGTCACTTAGTGACTGGTCGAAGTTCCGACAGACCTACCTAGTTGGGTACTAACAATCTGGATTTGAAGTTCTGACAGCTGCCCCCTGTTCACCTGATTGCACTTCAGGCACCTGGCACCTGGACTAGATTTAGGCCGTTTGCAGCATCCTATGGTCATGTGACTACATTTTATGACAGTTTTGCTGAAAACCAGGATTTGCTTCCATTTTTTTGACAAATGATACCTATAATGAATCCTTGGTAGTCTTGACAACCATGGCGATTTGCTTAACAACTGCTGCAAAAAAGGTCCTAAAGTTGGATCAGTCACATGAGCAATCTGTTTTACAACCCCATAAATTACAACCATGATAGGCAGGCTTCATCGCAGTCATAACTTGAAGACTATTTGTAATCCAATTAAAAGTGGCATGGCCAGACATAATTATCCTTCTCCATATAATGTAGGAAAGAATCAGTGGTCCATGAAGAAAACTTCAACTTTATTCAAAACCATCAGTTATCTTAGTGGAGGGTGATAAACTTCTTTTTCATCCTGCATTTGATTTTAATAATTGTAGATCAGGACATATCTATATGGTCTCTAACTTTAAATTTTTTTCCTATTTTTCTATCTTAGCAGAGATTTGTTGGGTATGCATAATGCTTAGGCTAGAATAACTAATTATTTGTTTATATTTTAAGCTATTCCAAATTTGGGAAGTAAAATTTAATATAAAATTTCAGAGAAAAAGAAATCCAGAGCTATGTAAGGGATTAAATAATATTTTCAGTGTGCAGAACAGGATGGTAAAATGGTAACTGTATATTTGAAGAAAACATCTGTAAAATCATTTTACAGATAAATGATTGTATTATATAAAGTCCATAGAGTTCACAACCGTATTTCAATGTACAAAACATTTAATATAGTATAATTCCCATTTTGTGCTTTAAATTGAACCTTGACTCAAACTTACCTATAAACTCATTGGCACTTAATTCTGAATAAATATATGCAGGTTTATGCAGCCAGACAGCCAAATTAGAATATTAATTGCAATAATAAAATACAGTGTAGATTAAGTGTTTTATCTTAAATTTACTTATTTTATCTTGTAATTTTCTAGAAAAATTGCCTAATTCATAATTTCTCTTTACAGATAAAGTTGTGGTATGACAAAGTTGGCCATCAATTAATAGTCACAATATTGGGAGCAAAAGATCTTCCTTCAAGAGAAGATGGGAGACCAAGGAATCCCTATGTTAAGATTTACTTTCTTCCTGACAGAAGGTAGTATGAACAAAATTAGTGGATATTGTTACAAATGAATTTTTGTGAATAATATCTAATAGAATGTAACTATATAATACATAATTGTACAAATATATTAAATAATAAAGCATTTTATCAGGAATGATCTGTTAACAATAATGAAGGATTGCCGTATCCCTTATTTAACCTTTTAAGTCAAAAGGAGTGAGTGAATGAATGAGTAAATAAATAAATATATATATAAATCAGACATACTGACGTGCTTCCTCAGATCATTTCTTTACGGATCATGCTTGCAATATAAATGCTTATTGGTGTGGACAGCGACTGGTTGAACAGGTTCCAAGGCATACTGCTTAATTTCCAAAATCAATAATACAACTAGATCTTGAAGTCATCATAGAACCCTGTCTTTGACCTGATGGGATGCTTAATGGGAAATCTTGTTGCTTTTATCAACACACTGAAGTTTCTAAAGCAAAGCATGGAGAATCTAGGAGTCTATGGTATTCTTGTCCAAAGTTCAGGACAACTCAAATATAGGTAAAAAACTGTAGAGGGGACTGTAGAGGGAGGGAGGGAGGGAGAAAGGAAGGGCAAAAGGATTTCTATCTCCCATATTTTTTATTTCTTAATAATAGTTATTTTTCATAACCTTTTAATTAATTATTAGAAATCAGTCTCACTGTACTCCAAATGGTCATTGCCAATCTTGTCCTTCTGTTTTTATTTTCACCCTCAAGCCCACAAAATATTACTTAATTAAATTAATATGTAATTCTTTTCTAAGCTTCTCACACTGTACTGTGTTACAGGTGTTACATTAAATATTTTGAAATCAATTTTAAATAATATTTATTTAACAAAAAGTTTGCTTGATGTTGAAATGTTTGCATAGCAGTTTTTCCTATATTGACATTTCCCAATTTGCTTTAATTGTTGCAATTTTAATCATTTTAATGTTTCCATTTTGAATGTTGAGTTATGTTTTGGGTTAGGGTTCTTGAAGTAGGGGAGTCTCAAGGGAGGGTAGAAAGTTGGTTTTTTAAATAAATTTTGCTTTAGGCATAATAGTTAAACTCAGACCTTTGAACATTACTAAACATACTAATGCCATTTCTGTCACTTACTATAATATATTTTTTAGATTATTTGCCAGACATTATTTTGAAATGAACTCTTTTAATACTTACATACCTATTTTATAAAATATTTCAGTTTATCTACTAAAATCTGTCATGTCAAATGACAGATTTGTTGATGTTTTATAACTTTCGATCAAAATATTTTTTTTTCGTGGAGTGGAGGTTTTTAATCAAATGAAAAAGGAAAACAATTCTGCAGAATATAACATCTGATGCCTATTGATCATCTATCAGTCTGTTGGCAATCCATTGTCAGTATTGTTTTGATAGTTTAGTTCAGCTTATTTTGGAAATATTCATGTGTTTCTAGCATCTCAACCAGTGTAGTGCATAGTAGCTTTTCCATAGTTTTCAGAATATTTGTAGATATTTGTATGAAGTGAGTGAACTTTTTCAGTGCATAGACTGATAATTTGTATACTACTATTGATGGGGAGTAATTTATGAAATCCCTTATGTTTCCTTGACAATAAAATTCCTATATCTCCTTGAATTTTGGATCAAAATGCAAAATCGATAAAAATAATTAAATGAGAAGGCTTGAACATACTGATTTCATTTACAACATCCTATTTGTACTAATCAGGATTTTCTACAGTTGATATTAAAATAGCAACTACTAATAAAAAATATTGTGGCATAAGTAATTACTTCAGAAGTAAAGCCCAATTTCAGGAATTTTGTAAAAAGAATTGAACTTGTCCTTCCCATTAAAAATATATTTTTTCTATTCTTTGTAATATTAACATCTTTAATATGTACTTCTTAATTGCAGTGATAAAAATAAAAGAAGAACAAAAACAGTAAAAAAAACATTGGAGCCCAAGTGGAACCAAACATTTATTTATTCTCCAGTTCATCGGAGAGAATTTCGAGAGCGAATGTTGGAAATTACTCTTTGGGACCAAGCTCGTGTTCGTGAGGAAGAAAGTGAATTTTTAGGAGAGGTAGTCAATGCTATTTATTGTTTACAAGGAATAAATATTTAATGTTATCTCCATAGGCACAAAGGTACAGTAAATTCTACAATGAACAATACTGCATCACATTGCATTATCCCTTATTGCTGGTAGCCATCTTTTTTATATAGCTTGTAACTATTTTTTGAAGCTGTTCAGTTTCCATTAACTTAAGTAAATATACAAATATCACATAGTACATGTTTTATAAAACAGTTATAGCACAAATGATGTGTTTTATTTGAACGGTTCTTATTTTATTATCTTTTTTTTTTAGATTCTTATTGAATTAGAGACAGCGTTGCTGGATGATGAGCCTCATTGGTACAAACTTCAGACTCATGATATGTCCTCATTGCCACTTCCCCATCCTTCCCCATATTTGCCACGCCGACAGCTTCATGGGGATAGCCCTACACGAAGGTTGCAAAGTAGGTTATAGAATACTATTTGTGTTTGTTTCAAATAGACTAATTGAAATGCTTTCTTCTGGAGGGAAAATGTATACAATAATAATATAGTATCTCTTCAGTTTTTATAAACTAATTTATATATACTGTGCTTCTCCAAAAAGAAGACTGGGTCTTATTTCTTTTTGACCCCCGAAAAAACAGCTAGGCCTTTTTTTGGAGGGTTCTAATTATTGACTCATCTCGTGGCGGTGGCACCGACAGCCCTGCCCAGCAGGAGCCCGCTGCTGGCCCACTTCTTCTGCTTGTCGGAAGGCATCTGCAGCCAATAAAAGAGCTCTGGATCGATCTGGAGCTCTGCTATCGGCTGCAGATAACAGATGCCAGCAGACATCTGAAGGCGAAACGGAGGCCAGACCGATGTGTGGAAGTGGCAGCAAGCGGCCGCAGGAGAAGGCGAGGCAGATGTCGGGGTGTGCGAGGCCTGGTAAGTAGGGCAACTCCACCCCCCCATCCCCATCCTAGCTTATTTTTTACCTGTGTGCCTCGCCCCACCCCCTGCACCCCAGGGTGTGTGGGGTCTTAATTAGGGCTAATTTTGTAGGTGGCGCTTAATTTGATCACATGCGCTCAAAAATGTGATAGGGCTTCTTTTCAAGGTGGGTCATCCTTTTGGAGAAACACGGTATTGTCCGCATGTTTGAAAATCAGGAAAAGGTAATGTGGAGAATTCATTGTATATTGAGAAATGTATTTGTTTTCTCTAGTTCCTTTTTGTAATTTTGTAATTGCTATTGTGACTTCCTGCTGGCTTCCCTGTTGACTTTGCTTGTCAGAAATTGGCAGTGAAAGTTACAAATGGTGATCACATGACATTGTGACTACCACCACTTTGAGAATGGCCATAAGTCTCCTTGTTCAACATCATCATCCCTTCAAATAGTCGCTGAACAAATGATTGTTAACTAAGGTACCTGTATTGGAAAAATTAATATTTATAATAAAAAATTATTTGGAGGATTCAGTCATAAATTTTGAAGAAAAAAAATCCAAATTTTAATGCATTGATTTAAAAGAAATATTTTAAAAATGATTTTAAAATGATTTTAAAAAATATCTGTAAAATCCATGAATCTAAATCTTATATAAATTTAAACTTCTTTTACTTTATGCTTCCCTTCGCTTCACAAATATATCTAATGTGTCTTCCTTGAAATCGTTAAACTTCATAAACATTCTTCAGAGCTACATGTCAACATGTGGATAAAAATATGATTATAAATATAACATGTTATGCAGTAGATTTAGAATCCTTTGAGCATCATACCAAGATCGGTTGGATTCCTTGACATTTCCTCCTGGACAGAAAAAAAAATATTAAAAAGTTTTTGCCCCTCTGTTTTATATGCAAGTCTTACCACCCATAGTCACAGTGGAATTAGGCGGTTTATACATCTAATACACAAATCTAAACTTGGTACATTATGAATTATGAAATGCAGTTCATATAGGTGAGCAATTCAGTATGTGAAGAATGGAATATGAGCCCTGTTCTCTAAATCAGACTGTCTCAATCTTTTACCCTGGAGGAATCCTTATAGTATTTTAGGCTTCAAGGAACCCTGCATAAAAATTACAAAAAAGATGAAAAGTTCATAATACAAATCACTTCTAACCTACACAATTTACATTTTATAATGTTTACAATAACAGCAAAGCAGTAGGCCTGAGACTGATATGCAACGTGTAAAGTTCTCCAACATTTCAAGGACCTAGCAATGTGTGAATCATAATGTTGAAAAAAAGTTTCTCTTTTTGTGTTCAAACATAACCTTCATGCTTCTTTTAATTTTTTGCTTTATTTTGTACAATAAATGGTTTGGGCATGTTAGGCTAATGTGCTTATTTGAATAGATACCTGATCCTGAATCCAAACCACAATTGGGCATTATATGTGTCTTTTATAAAAAAAATAGAACAATAGTTTTAATGAACCCTCTCAAGTCTCATGTAGGTGGCAAAAACAAGAAAAAAAGTAACAATTCAATAAAGAGTCTTTAATGCTAGTTCACGATAAATCTGATTCTTGGAAACATTAATAGGAATTTCCCAGGGCTTTTTTTTTTTTACAGTGAGTTAAGGCAGATTCTCTTTGAAATTCATCAGTTCAGAATTTGGTACCATCACTGCAACTCGTTGGTTGCAATATGCTCTACATGGAGCTGATCTCAAAGTCCATTGGGAAGCTATAGCTGGTAGAAAATGCACTGGTGCAAGCAGTAAGAGACACTTCTTAGTAAGGCCATTTGTCACCATTAGCTGCACTCTTTTCCAGTTGGCTTCCAGCTGTAATTAAAGGTGCTGGTCATTACCTATAAAGCAGTTAATGGCAGAGAACCTGTTTATCTGAAGGACTGTCCATCTCCCCTTGCTTCTGGTACATTCTGGCAGAGTGGGCGCACTCCAGATCCCTTCCATTAAACATTGCCATTTTACAGGACTGGAGAAGCATGCCTTTTCTGCTGTGGCACCAGCACTTATTTCTGGAACATAATTCCCCTGGATATCAGATTTTCCCAATCCAGCCAGCTATAGTGATACCACTAACTTTTCACAGACATTATTCATAATGCTGAACATGTCTGTACTAATGTGAGAAAAAGAGGAAGTTATTTTGCAATAGGGAGACATGATACACCGGAGAGAAATGCAAGTGTAAAGTTAACAGTAGGGAAATCCTGATAATTAAGTAGGAAACTATGGGAGAAATTAAGGTTATTGAGTCAATCACCAGTTAAGTAATTATGTTGATATTCTATCTTGTGTTTGGCTAGCAAATAGAACTAATAGAATGAAGTTCTCTGTGTTCGAAAATAGCTAAAGCACCCTGATGGTTTTTAGGATCAACAGATCATTATGGAGTAAGTGCCATTGGACATAAATACTATACACACACAAACACACACACACACACGAATGTATACAAATACATATGTATGCATGTATATGTATATATATATATATATGTAAATATACATTCTTAAGAAGACACACACACACACACACACACACACACACACATATATCATATATATATGTAGGTCTTTGGTTATTCGGGTCTTCTCCCACGTAAAATTGGAAGTGTCTTGGCTTGAAGTGTCTTGCCAAGACACTTCCAATTTTACGGCCAAGACACTTCCAATTTTACGTGGGAGAAGACCCGAATAACCAAAGACCTACATACAAACACCCACGAAAACCTGAGAAAACATATATATATATGTATATATATATAACAGTTAGAGCTTGCTAGGTGTCAGAAAGGAAAAAAGCCCAGAACCAGAAAAATCTTGGTTTACATAGGAAGAACCTGGCTAAAGAGAAATACATATGTGTACATACACACACACACACACACACACACACACACACACACATGATTGCTCTAAAAAGTTCTAAAAAACTAATAATTCATGTCTGCTCTGTCAAATAAAAATAGCGGTTGCACTTAATTATACACAACTTTTCAAATTAAGTACATTTCTGTTACATGTCAAAACCTCATATATTTTTTTCTGATATCACTTCATTTTAAAATTTTCCAGATAAAGGCTCATATTCATATAATCCAGGTAATTTTAAAGCATGCCATTTATCGCTTGTGGTTTTTTTTCTAATGCTATTGATGTGCTTCTGCTATTAGTTGTGGTACCAGTTCAGTTGCTTATTTGTTCTTTGGATTCTTATTCTGTTTTTAAAAATTAGACTTTATCCTTGCATTATTTCTAATTGTTCTTGCTAGTGTTATAAACAGTTTGCTAAAAAAATATAACTGCTTCCTAACTATTCATTCAATGTGTTTCAATATAAAGTTAATATAATATTAATATTAATATCTTGATAGTACTTTATGACAATTTGTGTTAAATTTAAAAATTATACTAATATACTAACTTCTTACTTACAATTCCTTACTGATATGACACTATACAGGAGTATTATGGATTGATAGTTTCCTTTATTGATAGTAGTATTAATCATAAAATATATGTGTACATTTGTAAATAATTCTCTTCCAGCTATGTTTTTTTAAACCCAGTAAATAACCAATCTTATTTGTCATAATCATAGCTCTATATTAACTTTTTTTTCTTGATAACTGTTGCAAGGCCATTTGTTTTGAATCAGAAATTTGATTAGAAATGGATTTACTTGAACTTCTGAGATATATTGTATTTAAGTGAAATCAGCAGAACAAATTAAATCATAGAATTGGATATGAGTTCTTAAATCAATTCAGCAAATAAATACATCCAATTTTCTGTTTTACATTAAAGCCTCAAATTAAATCAACCTTCCTTTAAGACCCTAAATGGCTTTGGACCTGGTTTTCTGAAGGACCACCTCTTCTTTCAACTCCTTGGTCATCCAGATTAAATTTCATGTGCTTGCTTCAGCAGAAAGGCAAACATTCATGCAAGCATGGTGTGCAAGATTGTGTATGAAGCTTGAGAAGGTACTAGGGCAGGGGTATCAAACTTAAGGCCCGGGGGCCGGATTTGGCCTACGGGAGGCTTAGATCTGGCCTACGGGGCTGCCCTGGAAACAGCAAAGGACTGTCATGTGGTGCCTCTGCCAGTGAAAATGGAGCTCGGAAGCTGCTTGTGACAAGCTAGAGACTTGATCAGGAACCTGCTGAGGTTGAGAGTAGAAGTCAGAAACAAGAAAGCACAAAATATGGGATCAGGAAGGCAAATGCTGAAGTTGCTTCCAGCAATGAAAGACAGCCACAGTTTAAATCCTCACCCATTGAGCATACGCTGTTGAAGCTTTTCATGCTCAGTATTGGCAATGATAAGATGCTTTTTTCTACTTATTAATTTCTATTAATAAAGGTTACCATTGAGAAAGAGAAGTTCTTTCTCTTTTGATTTTTTAGTGTGTTGTTTCACAATCCAAAGAATCAGCACATAATTCTGAGAAAGTACTGAGGATAATTTGAAGAATCAAATATTGCCTTTTCTGTAATTTCTGTTGCTCATATATAAAGATCCCCACTCTTTCATAACAGAAAGAGTTGGAAAGGACTTTGGAGATCTTCTAGTCCAATTCCCCCCTCTCCCGTTCATGAAGAAACCCATTAACCATTCGAGACAAAGGGCTGTCCAATCTCTTCTTAAAAATCTTGCCAAGAAGTTTGTAGGGATTTGTTCAAGGAAGGACAAAAAACTTCAAATGCTAAATTAAGAGGAAATACAATTAGAGTTAACCATAATTGTCAAAGGAATAGACTGTGATAAAAGATAGCAAAGAAAATTTGCATCGTAGATAAAAGGAAGAAAATAAATATATTTGGGTTATTCCTATTTCCTCAATTATGATTGAGCATATATGATCAATCAAAAACATATTTATAAAATATGTTTAGTCATTAACTATATATTTTTTTAAAGTGTGTTCATATCATATTTTTGCAATCCCAATGAGGATTATGTTTTCTGCTTCTGAGCAGTAAAGCTCTCTTACTGTTGATAAGTCAATTATATTTGGTTCGTTGCAAATATTAGGACATCTCTTTTGTACAAGCAGATTAAATGGTAAACCAGAACCTAATATATTTTTTTCTTATGGATCTGGCTTTTTAGGTGTAGCAATTGACTTAGAAGATGTTTTTATTAACTTATTTCAATACATGTTGTGCTAACCAAATTAAAACTTGAAATAGTATTTTTCTCTGTCTACTCACAAAATGAATGTATGCAAAATTAACTATCTCTACTAATATTACTAGTAAAGTTTAATAAACATGTCACTTCTTTACTGCAATAGCTGTTATCAATCTTTAATTATTTGTTTCTTTTTGCAGGATCCAAAAGAATAAGTGATAGTGAAATCTCGGATTATGATTGTGATGATGGAATAGGAGTAGTGTCAGGTAAAAACATTTATCAACATATTTTTAAGATTCTGAAATATTATTTTTCATGATGAATTCAACAGCTCTTTCTTCCACAGTTGTGTCTGAATGAAAAATTGCCAAGCTTGTTTCTGCATTGTTTTAACATAATTTGGTTGCTAATGAAAGATTTCATATTGGTTATTTTATTTATCTGGAAGGAACAACTACATTAGAAAATAATTCGGCCTGTGGTGTGAATTTCCCTATCTTTAGAAGGGATAGGTGGCCAAGGAGTGGGGCCAGAGTTAAACTCCCTCTTTAGGTCACTGAGTGTTTAGGCAGGTATAGTTGATAGGGGAATTGAATCCCCTAGACATTGGGATAGGTTCTTAGGACTTTTGGGGTATGGGGATATGAATCAGTGCAAGTTTGATATGTATAACCTGACCTTGGAGATGGGAATAATGGATGGGAGTGGAATGGGTGAAGAGTTGAGAGGAAAGGCAGGAACATACCTGCAACCATGTGCAGAGGAAGGCTGGCAGGATTGGGGCATGGTTGCATTTAGGGACATTTTGTCCACTGCTTGAAAACAATCCCATTGTTTAGCCATCAACCTCCACCATTAATTCCTGGTTATGAGCCTTAGTGGCCTTGGTTTCTGGCTGCTATGACTGCTAATTAATACTTCCATATTTCCATACTACCTTTCTTACTCATTTTTATAAGTACAGCTAGCTGCTAGATAAGTATTATTATAATAGTGACAAATGGCTGTCCTATTTTTCTTATTTGTAACATATGTTACATTGATTTCCAAATATGGCAGAAATACATTCAGAGATCTTTAATTAAAATACTTAAAAATCGTTTAGGATAAGAAGTTTTCTCAATATTAATTGGTAGATATTAATCAGCTATAGGGATAGCTATAGGGCTGATGTAAGAATACTTGGTTTATTGTGCAAAGAAAGCTGCTTAGATGTACTCAGTTGGATTCCAACTGATTTGGTCCCGTTGAGATGCTAGAGCATGGCCTTGTGGAGTGATCTGGCTTGAGTTTGAGTTTGTAACATCTGATGTCATGGGCAGGGTCCTTCAGACTATGAACGTGACCATTTGTTTATTAGATCCAGTTTCCTCTTGCCTGGGAGGTGACCTGGTATTGCATCCATATGATGGTGTCAGTGTTTTTGACAGAGTGTTTGATCTTTAAAGGAGATAATGGTGTATCCCTTCTTTTAAAAAAAATCAATTGTTGGATTCAATGATTCTGGAATATTTCCTTCCAGGTTCTAATCTTTCCTTTTGGGAGCAGGTAATTGTAAAAGTATTGAGCAATAGCTCCAGAGATCCTGCAGGAAATGGATTATCTGGATTTATTTCAGCCACATTTCAAGCCCGGATACAATACAGAAACAGTTCAATATTCTACCTATCTGGCTACAAAATGGTTTTTGAAGGCCTTGCATTGGTAGCCCATAAACAAAAGCCTTGTAAACAAATCCAAAGACCCAATAGCCCAAAAGACAAAAAACAAACGGAATAATTCAGCATAGTGTGAAAAGACAGCTGATAGCACTGGTCACTCACCCTCCAAACTAATTTGTTAAATTCTTCTGAAATCTGTCAGGGCAAGCAATTAAGTAATGTATTTCACTTTGCCAGAGTTGTGGAGAGCTTGATCGTATCAAATAGATATGCAAGGCAGTCAATGAGAATATTACAGTGAATGACAGAATGCAGTAGCTCAATCTCAATATCAAACTCAATCATTTGATATTGAATATAATCCATAATTATAAAACAAAACACAAAAGGCACATTTTTATGCCAGAAATTTTATATTTATTTAAATTTCAGAAAATGCAGGTTTGAGTGAGATCAAAAATCATTACTTGCCTTTTCCACTGAAACACTTTAAAGTTTTATTTATTTATTTATTTAGTCAAGTACATATTAGATAATATATATAAGTATAAGCATGAATTGAATACCTAAAATGAGTACAATTAAAGGGAATATTAGGACAGGGATGGTAGGCATGCTGGTGCTCTTATGCACACCCCTTACAGACCTCTTAGGAATGGGGTGAGGTCAACAGTAGAAGGTTTTAGGTTAAAGTTTTGGGGTTTTGGGATGAGACCACAGAGTCTGGTAGTGCATTCCAGGCATTAACAACTCTGTTACTGAAGTCATATTTTCTGCAATCGAGTTTGGAGCGGTTCACTTTAAGTTTGTATCTATTGTGTGCTCTTGTATTGTTGTGGTTGAAGCTGAAGTAGTCATTGACAGGTAGATAGAAAAAATATTAAAACCCTGTAGACAATAGTACATGTAGTAGTACAATATATTGAAATCTTTTATATACATATATACTAATTTTATAATGCTGAACATGAGCTTGTATTATTTTATTTCATAAAAATCCTGGTTAAGGAGGATAGCATGAAATTTGGGAAACACAATTGAAATGGCAGTTGATTATTTTCTTTCTATCTTGCTGTCACTTGTTGTTTTTTGTTTCTTATTTGTTTAGCATTCATGTTTTCAGTTAAGAACCCTGAACTCAAGCTATGTTCATCCTGTTCTTATATTCTTAATGGATATATTCACTTGATTACATATACTACCTCCTTTCTATTTTTTATTATTTATGACAGATTCTTTTAATTTTATGTTTTCAACTTTTGTTAATCAGACAATTTATTTAAAAACTGTTTTTGCTGCTCCCCTCCTCCCACAGATGTAAATAAGTCATTGCCTCAAAATAAAAAATGTACAATTTTATATTTTAGTAAAACTGCCCTAGCAATAACTAGAGCTATGGACTGATTAACACTCAGGGGCTGTACTTGCTGCTTTTGCCAAAGATGTAGCACCTCTTTGGTATTAATGCTGGCAATAACATGTATGGTCCTTACTCTATCTTCAGGTGAAACACAGTGATAAGGACTTGATAGTTGCTTTCCTTAATGGCAACTGCAGCTTAAATGGTTGGGCAAGACAATGCCTATTTTATTGTTTGTATTTACATAATCATGGTTGTACAGTCTTACTAAAACTTCCGAGAAGCAAATGTAATAAACGTTATGAATAAACATTATTCATAAGAATAATGATTTCTTTATAAGGATCAGGCAATTCAAGAATTCACTATTATAGTATTTCTGACAAGTCAGCCACCCAGTCTGTTTAAACACTTCATTGCTGCAAGAGCAATTCGCTTCTTACTAATGTTTCCCTACTACCTATCTTATGAGTACTTGTGAGTACAGTCAGCTGTTGGATAAGTAGCATTATCGTAGTGGCAAACGGCTGTCTTATTTTTTTTCTCTTATTTTAATTTGCATTTTCAAAAGTAAAAAATGGGAGGAACTGCATATGTACTTTAAAACAAATTTTAAATACATTTATTTCTAAATATGGGAGATTAGAGAGGAAGGCACTTAGAGCTTTTCTTTAATTAAAATATTTAAAAACCATTGAGGATCAAGAGTTTTCTCAGTATTAATTGGTAGGTATTAACTTTGTAATTTATTTGCTGTATATAACCACCTAATTTGTGTTCTATTTTTATGTGAAACTATCTCATTACGTTTTCAAGAACATTGCCAGGCTACTATTATTTCTTAGTGAGAAAAATATATATTCCACATGTTAAATATTTTCTGGTGGAAACTACATTTACTCCCATAAATCTTGGACAGGACAGCACTATAATGATTAGTGTTTTTAAGCAAAACAATTATCTTCCCAATGCTAAAATAGACCTTTCTTTTCGTAAATGAAATTTCCACTTATAGAATTCCTGCCTCATGGGCAAATTATTGAAAACAATGATACAATGAACTGTACAATATTAGGTACAATGTACCTAGCAATGTAACCCAACAAGTGTACAATGTTAGGTACAACTATACCAAAGTTCTGCCTTAGGCATAAAACTAGCCCAGTTAGGAGGGCTAGTCATTCTCAGCTCAGCTCACAGAGTTGTTATGGGGAGAATAAAAGCAGGAAGCAGTATTAAGAATGTTCGCTGCCTTGAGTTATTTATAAAACAATAAAGTCAGGATAAAAATAAAATAAATAAACTGCATGCTTTGTGATCTGCTTAAAATTCCTAGTACTGAAAGGTACTTCCAAGCTACAGTAATTAAATATTTTTCCACATCAACAGCCTTAAGATGTTTCTGCTTCATGTTGTTTGGGGAATTCTGGGGGGTGAAGTCTACACATCTTAAAATTGCTGAGGTTGAGAAACACTAATTTAGGCACACACGATATCTGTAGTTTCTCTTTAGGTTACAAATGACGTAGCAGTTCTGGTTCCTAAGCTCAAGAATCCATGTCCCATTCTGTAGATCAAATAGTTCTTCTTTGCTTAATACCATATGGTGACAATGCATGTTTTTCATGGAGACTGCATGGTTATAATATCTTAATTATTTCTTCCTCTTGCTGCAGTTTGAATTTTGAATGACTGAAATTTAAGGGGAAAAAAAGAAATAGAATCAGATATAATAGCAGTGGTATTAGGGTGAGACATTTTAAAAGTAATAAAATCTGCATACATTCATTTATGCATTTTATTTGTAATTGAATCTTCAAACAGATGTCATTAACCTGCACCATAACAAGCTATGACAAATTATTTTTCCTTTACCTATACACTTTTAAAAATATTGTAATCAATTATTTCTCATTCAGGAATTATTTTGCAATGCAAATTATATTTCTTTTAGCTGTAAGACTGTACACCAAATGCAAATACAGTCCTCCTTCGGTTTCATTTCCTTCTCCCTCCATGCCTCATTTTTTCAAGATTAAATGCTAAATTCCAAAATTTCCCTCAAAATTGATTTTCCAGGTTTGAATCTCATGGCAGGAAAAGAGACTTTGGAGAAGCAACAAGGATCAGAGGAGAGTGTCTTTTGCCATTTTTCTGTTGCAAGTTACCAATAGCTGCAACATCTGTCACCCCACTGATTGTCAGGGTTGATTTGGCTGATTTGGCAAACTTTTAGGCAGGTATCACCTTTTGCCCTTGCTACTTCATATTCGTCCCTCTCGAAGCTGTTCCTATCTGGCAATGGTATAGCTCAAAGTCCAAGAATCTGGGCCATCTTCTACATATAGTATAGTATATAGTATATGTATATACTACATATAGTATATGTTGTTACTACCCTGCAAATAATTGTGGTGATTCTTTTGTTTTAGATTTATTAAGTTACATTTTTCCAGTTTCAGCTTCTTTTATACGTTGTGTCATGATTTTTGATGTCCTCCCTTGTGTTTTTGTAATCTTGCTTGTAATAAAATCAGCAGTTTATATAGGCTCGTTGACAAACTCCCCCAGCTTCCAGGTTTTTAATTAAGATACGGTAGGCTCCATTAAAGGACTTCCCCTGGGAAGCAATGAAAAGGCATAATGAACACATTATATATAAGTAGCTTGTTCTGAATTAGCATTTTCTAGATGAGGGACAGCTTTATTTAAAATATTCCATTTTATATACCATTCATTTTATTAATCTTTATGTTTTTAACTTGCTCAATAAAGATTTTCTCCCTCATGTAATTGAAGAATTTTTGTTTAATTTTGTTGCTTACAACTGTGTACCTATGGAGAAATTATATCAGTAAGAATAAGTAGGGCATTATCTTTTTTTGACACATCCCCAAGGAAGGCTTATACCAGCAGTTAGCCTTTTCTCCCCCACCAAGCTATATCATCTTTAGAAATTACAGTGAAAGTTCTGTGATGGCAGGAAATATTCTGTGACATTACATCAGGTAAACTAAGGAAATCAGTTTTTATGAAAGAGATTAAAGTTATTTGGGACCAAGACTACACAAAAATACGTGCTGTAGGATCTATGAATAAGTGTGTCAACTTCGAACTGAACCTGGCAGCATCCATCTTTCTGTTCCTTAGTTGCAACACAGAGGGGGAAGGGGGAAAGGAGGTTGGAAAGCATTACTAGACACAACAAAAGCTTTCTCATGAGAACCAAGGTCATCTCTACTGGCAACCAATAAGGTTGGGGAAAGAGTGCCTGAAGAGTCTGCCAATTAACTCAATTGGCCAATGTGACCTGTGACACTTGGGGATGGGGTTATTTCCTATTTTAATTATACTGTAATCACGGGAAAAATTTAGATTTGGTTTTCCTTTGAAGCTGTGCCGATATGATGTATTTATTAAAGAAGACCTTTGAGAAGGAGCCAAGTCTCAGAGTTCTGATTTGGTTGGGTTCATTAGTCGGAGCCTCGACTCTTAGTAAGAAGAGGGCCCAAGCAAAAGAATATCTGAAAAATAAATAGATATGATTCAGATTTCAGAAAACCTCAAAAAGTTTGTTCCCCACAAAAAGAATAAGAAATAAAAGTATGCATTCCATTTGGTGTTAATAAATATTACAACATTCCTTTTGGGGTAAAAATAATTTTGCATGCACAGCTGTCTGTGATGTCACCAAGCATTAGATACTGTATTGTGTGTGCCTCTGCTTTCTATACCTATTTGGGAAAGAAATAAAACAGTAACAGAGACCTATTTCAGTTTTGGGGTTTCCAAAATTATTAGCTGACTATTGTTGGAAATGAATGGCTTCATTATATGTTTTTTTTGGGCCCTATTTGACAAAGACTACTTTTGTGAATTTATGTGATTTGATGTGAGCAATTTGAAAAAAATTCTACTGTCTATGCTACTTTTAAAAAAACTCAGAAAAAATAAGTCAGTAAGCCTCTATATTTCTGTCAGCTGTATATTTTTTTTGTAGATTACAGACATAATGGAAGAGATCTTCAAAGTTCAACATTATCAGTGCCAGAACAAGTGATGTCATCCAATCATTGCTCTCGATCAGGCTCTCCTCACCGTAGTGACAGTATAGGAAGAACTAGATCATGGTCTCCCAGTGTTCCTCCATTACAAAGGTAAATTGTAGTTGAAACTTGTAGGGGAAGGCTGGGGTTCAATATAAAATACACCGTGATAAAACATGACTTTATTAAAAAAAAAATGAAAGAGGAAAAATCTTAAAATTAATTGTTTAGTTAAAAAAAATACTTCGTTTATAATTATCTGTTTTATTAACTTATTCATATTTGTCAGAGTTTAGTTTAGTTTATTTAGTCATTTATTCAATTTCTATAGTCACCCAGTTCAGCCAAGTGACTCTGGGCCACTTATAATTCTAAAACTATAAAACAACTGTAAAATGGTAAGGCAAAAAACAGTAAAACAGTAAAAGTGTCCACAAAATAAATGATGTATAATAGTAATATATAGCATTAGGGGGTGACATGATAGCAGTGTTCTGATATCTCAAGAGTTGCCACAAAAAAGAGGGAGTCAAACTATTCTCCAAAGCACCTGAGGGTAGAACAAGAAGCAACAGGTGGAAACTAATCAAGGAGAGAAGCAATTTAGAACTAAGGAGAAATTTCCTGACAGTTAGAACAATTAATCAGTGAAACAAGTTGCCTCCAGAAGTTGTAAATGGTCCAACACTGGAAGTTTTTAAGAAGAGATTAGATAACCATTTGTCTGAAGTGGTGTAGGGTTTCCTGCCTAAGCAGGGGGTTGGACTAGAAGACCTCTAAGGTCCCTTCCAACTCTGTTTATTCTATTCTATTCTATTCTATTCTATTCTATTCTGTTCTATTCTATTCTTTATTCATTGATGAATTTATATAATATAAAGAAATTAGATAATGAATATTTACATACACAAAGATCATGTTATAACATAATGAAATTTATGTCCAGTAGCTGATAAATCTCCCATTTGAGTGTATATTCTGTTTTTTAAAATTCTGTTTAATATGGAAAGCTGTAAGTATGCAAGAAAATTTTCTGCACACAGACAAGAAACATTGAGGTGAGAAAAGTATACAATGGTCTTGTTAGAACTGTGGTACTGATAGTAATTACCATTATTTTAAATAATCATTTTTTCTTCTGCTTATCATTTTTTATTGGGAGATTTTAAAACAGTCATTTATTTTTAATATGAGAATTTCATGCTGAAATATCTGTGATTTCATACTCCAGTGGCAGTTTCTCCATAGTACTTTTGTTCTGAGATATATTCTGCCTGTTTAAAATTGCAGATATTGGTTATAGTAAAAGATTTCCAGTAAATAAATACGGAAGCCAGAAAATATTTTTTATTGAGGTCCTCACATATTTTGATCTATATATATTATAGATAATCTTTTTCTTTTGATAACAAAACAATGAGACTCAGATAGAATAGAAATAGAAATAGAAATAGAAATAGGAATAGAATAGAATAGAATAGAATAGAATAGAATAGAATAGAATAGAATAGAATAGAATAGAATTCTTTATTGGCCAAGTGTGATTGGAAACACAAGGAATTTGTCTTGGTGCATACACTCTCAGTGTACATAAAAGATTGTACATAAAAAGTACAAAAAAGATTAATAATTAGTGGTGTGGTAATATTTTAATGAGACTTGTTAAATTTATACACGTCAATGCACAACAGGAAATGTATAAGATTTAGTAAGTGGATACAACAGCCATGTTAACATCTGAAAATATTATCTCAAGAAAATGATTAGACTACTTATTCAGTACTATTTCTATTCATTATTTTATTCAAGGTTGATCAATAACAGCTTAAGGTTAAAATCCACACAAAAGTGCTATCTAATTGGAAATTTGTGTCATGAGAGAGGAAGTCCTGACTCTTTCAGTTTTTGGCAGGTAGATGAAAGCCCAAAAATTGATTATTTTCATATCTTCTAAACAACAGTAGGCCGGCTCTTCTAACTATATGGTGTGTGGAATTAATTTACAAAAAATATTCAGTGAAGCCATTATAGATATCCGTTCTGATGTAATTTTTTTCAACATAGTTTTGCCCTGGATACTATATGGAACAAAGCAAGAAATATCAAACTACTGAAGAAAACAAGGGCATGGGGATAGGAAGAATAAGTGGAGAATATCAGAATTAAAGTCTTGTCTAGCCCCTAACTGGGAATAATAATAGCAAACATTAGTCAGTAAACATTAGTCAAACATTAGGAATTGCCCAAGAAGACATAATGATGCAGCCATCTTGCTGAGGTTCAGTTGGTGTAAGACTAGTTAGAAGTTGTTTATATGTTTGTAAAGAGGAAATGCAGGGTGTGTGTGTGAGTGTGTGTGTGTGTGTTGTCAGAGACACCACTCTGTTCAAAAAGATCTGGCCAAGGCTGTTTGACATCCCTGAAATTGAATAATTTTATTAAAGGTCCTATAACATTTGTTCCTCTATCCTAATGTTTAGTTACAGAGTATTTATCTTTCCTTCAATGGCCCATTAAGGGATAATTAACACATATTTTAAGTTTCCATTACCACAGCCATAAAATTACAAATATTTTCTTTAGACTTCTTCCCTATCCTTCTGGTAACAAAAGGCAGTGTGAAATCGAAAAGTTGTGAATGATTGTAACTGGCCCACATTGTTTGTTTGATCTCTCTCTCCCATCTCCCAAGAATGTGTATATTCAAGAAAATATAGTAACAAAGATAAGCATCCCTGGAAAAACAGGAATTTAGTAGCAATATTTTCAACTGATAAAAATTTAACATTTAAGTTTTTTTTCCAATTGACAAAAAAATTAAATATATAAATTGTACTAGTCAGAAAAGGTCCTACTATTCTCTTGATTTTTTTACTACCATAAAGTTAATATAGGCCTCCTATAACATATGTGAAAAAATATCCCTGCCTATAGTGTGTGGAAGTTTCAATTGTTTATGAAAATTACGTACTTCTTTTAAAAGTTTAAAAGTTCCTTTTAAATATCAGTTGCCAAATTTTCTAAAGGAGTGTTCATCATGCCAAGAGTTAAACATTGTTTTAAAAAAAACATGGAGGAAAATACTTAAATGATATTTTATAATATTCAATATATCAGGATAGAAAGCTGCTGTGGCGCTGTGGTTAGAGTGCAGTATTGCAGGCTATTTCTGCTGACTGCTGGCTGCCTGCAATTTGGCAGTTCAAACCTCGCCAGGCCCAGGGTTGACTCAGCCTTCCATCCTTCTGAGGTCAGTAAAATGAGGATCCAGATTGTTGGGGGCAATATGCTGATTCCATAAACCGCTTAGAGAGGGATGTATAAAGCACTCTTAAGCGGTATATAAGTCTAAGTACTATTGCTATATACAGTAAATGGTGGTGCATTTGTGCCTCTTGTACCTTCATTAATTAGAAAATTAATGCACATTTCCTTTTACGCTTCTCTGGTTATAGAGTGAATTCTCCTTTCTGCCTTAACTAGAGTTAAGAACTATATTAGAACTAATGTGAATTACCAATAAAGTTCATCAAGATACTTATTTACTTTAATTTGAATTTGTTTCAATAAGTACTGGTTATTTTGCATGAATAATTTTAAATTACATGCTTACTCTGTAGTGGGTAGATTGTTTGGAATTTCATTTTATTTCCAAATAAGATTGGTCAGTTATTGGGCAATAGAATTGTATATAGTGGCACAATAATTTTAGGCTATGGCAAAAGCAAATCTAAATATTCAGGAAACAACTTTCCCACCTATTGGAGGCATTAGAATGTGGCTTAATTTTTTCAAATTTCTCTCATCAATTAAGAGGCTACGGACTTTCCGTTTTACAATTATCTGATTGTAAAGATTTATAGGACTGCATCAGATGCCAGAATTTAAATAACCAGCATATATATTAATGACCAGAAAAAAATGTTAGGGAGAAGAACGTGACAGTCTGCATTTGATTACTAAAGATCATTTTAGAGATCAGCAAAGGGATTTGCTCATTTCCCCCACTATAACATTAATGGTTTTGTTTCTTCAAGGAATGTGGAACATGGGTCTCGCGGGACCCGATCTACTCCTGCACATTACAATACCATGAATCGAATGGATAGACATCGAATAATGGATGACCACAACTGTCCAGACAGAGAGAGGTAGATATTCTAAAGTAACAGAGTAAACAATGGAACTGAGTCTACAGACAGAGCCATTTCAGCTTTCTGGTTTACAAAATTAGGGTAGAAAAAAATTGATCTGTTCCTGTTTTTGAAATTATTATTCTGTTACAGGCATTGTGTTGTATATTATGTATTCATACTGTGCATTTTTCTGTGAGAAAACTAGAAGGCAGCAAGTATCTTTTAATTTAAAGAAGTTAGGGTTTTATTCTATGAGGCTTTTATTTTATTTTGACTATTAATTTGATTTTGAATAATAATTCATTTATGGTAAATAATAATTAGTATGTTAAGGCCTCTAGAAATAGGAATACATAATAATTTACCAATGTAATAATTTAATATTTATATATCAAATAATTGGAAAGCTTCCTGGTACGTTCTATACTTGATTTTAGCATCAATTGCCTATGCATAAATAGATTTTAAACAATATATACTTATCTTGTAGGGAGCATTTATCTCTGGACAGAAAACACATATAGTACAGCTGTTAATCTCCGAAATACTGTATATTCATCTCATAGCTTGGACTTAGTGCAAAAGGGTCTTTTGAGGATCTCTGTTAAATATAATATTTCTTCTCTTATAAATACATATAAATGTATTTATTTTAATTATTTTTCCATGGTTTGATCTGTATATTTGAATTAGAGATGGGACCAGAATCAATCTTGCTAATTTTTCCTTCCATGCGTATGGCAAAATGTGCATTTCTTACAGCTGAAAAGCTGTTGCTTTTGTGGCTTGGATGGGGGAAGGGAGGAAATCAGATCCCCTTAATCAGGATCAGGTGGATTTCCTGTTTGTGTTCCCTCATACATATATTCACACTACTAGTCCAGGATTCTTCAGATATCAATACTGTGCCAGTACCTCAGCCAAGTTCTGTGTTCTTAAGTAAGGCACAGTATCTAGAATGTTGATTTAAGATCTACTACTGCTTCTTTTGTGCATGATTTGCCCACTCACTGGATAAATTGATCCAGTTCTTTCAATTAACATGTTAAGGTGCCAGTAGATTCCAACCTTTTAGTAAGGCATGAAAACATCTTTCTAGGCCTTCTAGGATGCTAATGATTTTTTTGCTTTTATTTTCATGCTGGTAATCAAGAGTGTGTTATGTAATGGATAAAAAAAAAGAATCTGGTTGGATGAAAACAATGTCTTCATGTGTTCTAGTATGCTATTTTATATAGTGGCCTACCAGAGGCATTCTGGAAACTCATAACCATAGACAGAAAAGCAATGGCTTCGTTCTACTGTTGGTCAATAGCATCTTGTATTTAAAGTACAAGATTGTGGATTGTGAAAATGATAATTGCGTAAGCTAGTAGCCATAGATAGGTAGCCCAGGCTTTTGTGGATTTGTCTTTCCTTATAAAACTTGAAAAAGATGGCTCTTAGAATGCATACACTGCAAAAGACAGTGAATTTCATGATTTACAAGTTTTGTGTAAAGTATTTTTTTGTTTGTCAGTCCTGAATGGTTAATTTGGATTAGTTTCCATGCATGAGTATGAGTTCTAACTAGGCACTCACTCTAGTCCATGTTTGGTCCACACCATACATTATTATATATATCTGTTGTTATACCTCTGTTTTCATGCTTTTCCTTATCAAATCTTCAGCTTCACAATATTTTCAGGGGTGGTACTATTTTTCAAATACAATAGGTATAATAACATTACTGATTTGGGTACTTCATTCTCAGTTCCATTTCTAATGTCATCCAAATGAATTGTCCTAATAATTCCCTTCTAAAAATTGATTTTATCTTTTTATAGTGTAAACATCGCTTAACATTTTCATTGAACTAGCCACAATAAATCCATGATCCATTATTTAAAATCAGCCATGGCCAGCTCAGATTTGTATATCCCAATGTATATCCAAATTTGTACTTCATTACTTTATTTGTGATTTTAATAGCACTTTGGAGCTATTATTATTTTACTTTCTTGAACAATTGTTAAAATTACTAATTGTCATTAGCAATTATGGGCACTTTGTTGCTTATATCTGATTAGATTGTTATTTAACAAGCAGCACAAATTCCATCTCCAGTTCTGTCCCAGTCTTTCCAGTATAACAAAATGTCATTTATTCCTTCGCTTAGTTTCCCATTCTTGAACTAAGTGCTAATATCTGAGACCAGGTTCATTCTCTCCAGAAAATAGGTATGAAAAGCAATTTTCCCAAGCATGAATTCATAGCTTTCTTTAGCAAGATTTAATAAGATAAACAAGCATTAATACAAAAATCCCAGCAAGTGGACTACATTTCAATTTAAGATCAATGTAACTCATTAGGAGTAGTGATTTTGAGTGTGTTTCTCCCTGTCATATGGTATACTGGAAGGAAGGGAAGCTCTTTTCCCTAAACTGTGGTGGCGCAGTGGTTAGAATGCAGTTTTGCAGGCTAATTCTGCTGACTGCCAGCAGTTCAATTCTCACCAGGCTGAAGGTTGACTCAGCCTTCCATCCTTCTGAGGTTGGTAAAATGAGGACCCAGATTGTTGGGGGCAATATGCTGAGACTGTAAAACCGCATAGCGAGGGCTGTAAAGCACTGTGAAGTGGCATGTAAGTCTAAATGCTATTGTTACTGATATTTAAGCGGAGCTGCCTCCAGTTGTCTATATAATGGTGAACTGAATATTTGTCAGTGTGAGAAGCAATTTATATATGGAAACAATTTTAAATAAAAATTATTATTTCATTGGAATATAATTTATTATATCTGGGACTTTGACAGTATTTTAGTGGCATATGATAATACTGTTTAATGATAAATCCCCTTTGTTTTAGGCTATGTTAGAAAACAAGGATTTTTTGAAGTTCAAAAAGGAAAAGATACTTTTCAGAACTGATGTGTGCTATTGTTCTAGAGATTTTTAAAACCTATAGTGCAAAAACTTCAAATACTCTTTTGAAGTCATCATTTTCACATTGGATGCTGTTAAGTAGGAATAACTTTAATTGATAAATTCAAGCTTATACAAGCTTGCTTTCAATTGTTTTTGAAAGAATATACATAATACTGAGTTACAGTCTCTATCTTAGGCAGGTTTTTGATAGAATTCTGTCAAAATTGTGTCAGAATTCTGTTCTATGAAACTGTGCAAACATTGAAATAACTGTTCTTAGTCCAGTAAATTATAATAAGATGTCTATTTGTTGCATGTTATTCTTTGCTATTTTTGCTCCTATATCTGGTCTGTGACAATGAACTCCTTTTAATGCAGTAACTGCTGAACCAACATTGTTGAGCTAAATGACACGTTCCAAGGATTTTTTCCAGTTCCTTTCCATTTGTCCCCACAAATATATACTCTTTTTCTTCTGTTCAATATGACACACGATTAAAAAAAAATCTGGAATCTTATTGGGGCTAGTTAAAAAAGATAAAAATAAAAATAAAGAATACAAGTACATGTTTTATGAACATAATTATTGTATAATAATTTTATGAATCCTAAAGCACTGAGCAACATTAATCTTTCTTTAAAAAAATTTAAGGTCAAGAGATCCAGAGACAGATCAACAGAGTCCAATTTAGGATCGTAGCTAAAAAAAACAAAAGGCAATGCACCAATAGCACCCACATCTGATAAATAATAATATTTATTTATTTAATATTTAATAATATAATATATGATAAATAAAGAGCCTTGGTAGTACAGTGGTTTAAAGCACCCTGTTATTAACACAGCTGCCTGCAATTACTGCAGGTTCGAATCTTACCAGGCTCAAGGTTGACTCAGCCTTCCATCCTTTCTAAGGTAGGTAAATTGAGGACCCAGTTTGTGGGGGCAATAAGCTGACTTTGTATAAATATACAAAAGTATGAAGGCTATTGCTTAATGCATTGTAAGCCGCCCTGAGTCTCCAGAGAAGGGCGGCATATAAATCAAATTAAAAAAAAAAAAAGGGATGTGACAATGGCAGAGGAATTAGTTATCTGTATCAGAGTTCAGACACCAGAGAATTTCACAGCTGGTTTGAGACTTCAAGCCAAGAGCAGAGCAAAGAGCCAGAACAATAGGATCACAGATCCAATATTGCCAGTCTCTTGATTGAAGTGTTGTTAACCTCTATTGCTGAGAAGTCTTTGTTCTGTCATTTAAACTACTTGGCTCATTGTGGGTCTAGGCACTCTGCCAGGATCTGGCCTCTTATTACATCTGAGTCACCTGCTCATTCTCATTAGATCCCTGATCTATTCCAGGTGATTGGAGTTCCTGAGTCTTTTTGCCAGATCAGGCAGTTCAGCCCCTGATTATGATTTAGTTAGAGTAGACCATAACAAGGAGGTAGGTGTTATGAGCTGCTACTGATGTGTGGTGCAATCTGGGTGAGCCATCCCTTAATTGTGTGTGTGTGTGTATACCTGTGCTCAAGGGAAAGTATTGACCTCATGAAAGGTCTTCAGTGAGATTGATGTCTCTTCTGTTAAAGAAATTATCTGCCAGTAAAGGCTATTTTCTCTTCTGCAGCCAAAGTACAAATAGTCAAAGAGGCCTGCAGGTGGATGGAAGTGGACCGTCTTGCAGCAGGCAAATTTAAACCCTGCAGGCCACTGATCTCTCTTAGGATCTTTCTACTCACAGCATTCCCACACAGGAACGTCAGACTCTTTTTAAAAAAAAAAAAAAAGTATGCTTTTATTGTAAGACAGAAAAAAGAAAAAAAAAGGAATACATTAAGGATATACAAAGTATAAAAATTACATAAATATTTACAATTTATTAAAAAGGGAAAACACTCCATTTTTTCTGCAAATGATCCTGAATTAAAACAGATATAAAGAAAATACTTTATCACAATCCTTTAGAACTGATATTTGAACCAAACTACAAGTTGACAAAAGTAGGCAATGTAATAAGGGTTAGTAAAATTCATAATAATAATTATTAATAATAATAATTAGCAAGAATTGCTAATAATCTGAAGCACGACAGGTAGTCTTCAACTTACAACAGTTCATTTAGTGACGGTTCAAAGTTACAATGGCACAAAAAAAGTGACTTATGACTGTTTTTCACAGTTACAACCTTTCCAGCAATCCCATGATCATGTGATCAAAATTAGATGCTTGGCAAGTGGTTCATACTTATGACTGTTGCTGTGTCCCCAGGGTCATGTTTGCAACCTTTTGACAAGCAAAATCAATGGGGAAGCCAGATGCACTTAACAATCACGTTACTAACTTATCCACTGCACTGATTCAGTTAACAACTATAACAAGAAAGATCATAAAATGGGATAAAACTCACTTAACAAATCTTTCACTTAACAATAGAAATTTTGGGCTCAATTATGGTCATTAAGTCGAAAACTACCTCTACCTTTATGGTTTACCAGACAGAATCTAGCAATTCTTTTTTTAACAAGTCAGTCTTTGTACCCTCTTTCTTCTCCATGCCCTCTTTCTTCTGACTCTCAGTATTTTTTCTGTTAAACAGTTGAATTTTAGAAAAAGACTGCTTCCATCTTTATGAACTTTATGATTAATCATACTTATGGTGAAATCAGTACAATGTAATGTCCTCAACATCTGACATGCCAAGATAGTTCTGTATATCTTATTCTGGAATATTCCTAAATATCGGTAAATACCTTGCAACCTACTGCTTAAGTCTTTTCTAAATATGATAGTGATGGGACAGCCACCTTCATTAATCAAAGCAATAGTACCTTGAATTGAGTTGCACAACATCCACATTTCAGGTGTGTGGAGGACAGGAATTAATTGCTTACAGTAGTATTGCATCAGGAGAAGCACATTAATATATCGATCCCTTTTATGAATTTTTTTTTGTGTATAAAAATTACGCCTTTATGCTTGTGCGCTCAGACCTTCTATTTTATGATATATATCTATATATGTTACTCTATCTTAATTTTATTGTCTTACAATTTTATTTTTGTTTCTGCTATGCTTTCAGTCATTATCTCACTCTGCCTTGGTCCCATCACACTCAATCCATTGACTACCATCATAGAGATGCCAGGTATCTGCTTTCCTGTGTGTGACTCTGTGTATAAATGCATGCTTTTACTTATATTTTTGCTTCATATTAGTTAAGATGAATGAATGGCTTAATAAAAAACCTTTTGCAAATATTAATACTTGACTTTAAAAAAGTACTACTTTACATTCATTGTTTGTCTAATCAATAGAGAGCATGTTATGCAACAACACTTTTTGCCCAGTTCTTGAACATTTATCATGCTTTGTCTATGAATTTCCAGATGTTAGATTCTGCTCAATATTGCTATAACTTTTTCAGTCATCCTATTGTAAACCATTATTCCATATTATCATCCATTATTACACACTCTCTCTCTCTCTCTCTCTCCGTCCCTTCCTCTGTCCTCCCTCCCTCCCTCCAGCAATCTTAGGTGAGCCTATCAATGCCTTTCCAGTTGTATAATATTAGATAAAATAGGATCTGAATACAGAAAGAACAACAACATAGCAGGAATTAGCCAGCTGTAAATTCTACAACAGCTAGCTAATGTCTTTAAAAAGGAACTTTGTTTTTATATCAGGCAAATATAAGGTTTAATATGCGGTATTAAACGCATTTTGAATTTCTGCTAATAAGAAGAGTGCTTTTTCCCCATTTCCTGGAGCGAATGATTGTATATTTTACAGTATCTGTTATTTAATGCAATCAAATGCTATTTTTTTTTTAAAAAAAATAGCTGAACACTTGTCAGATTTTTAAATCATAAGAGATTTGGGGTTGTCGTTTGAGATCACCAAGGATTTACTATAAATACATAAAATCTCAGGAATGAATGATGACCAAATCTTGTCAGAGTTTCTGCTTAATTTTTTGCAGTCTGTATCATTATATGAGATCCAATATCACTACATAAAAAGATTGCCAACACCTGAACTAGGTAGTTATATTATGATAGCTATAATAATTTCATAAACTTAAAATTGTGTCCTAAAGTTTGGAGATCCTGTCTTAACAAGGGGTTCTTCTATACTGTAGCTGCTAATTAAGAGAGAAGCCATTCAGACTTTAGCCATGCCTACCAGTATTTAGCATTAATAATATAGATTATGTCTGGGAGAAATGAGTTTCAGCTGAAGATAATGTTCTCTTATTACTGGAAAGCAACTCTTGTATGATTGGGAAATGTTATATCAGAATTACCTTAATGATACTATTGGAGAGCCACTTATGTAGTTGGCTGGGTTTTTTGCCATATTGATTGCATTTTAATCATATTTGAAGGAAACTTTACTTTCCTCATACAAATTTCATTGGATAATGAATAAAGTTTCTTGTAGCTGTCTCTTAGGCTACTTCACATAAAATTCAGAAGTGCTCAAATATACCCTCCTTTTTAAATGTTCAATCCAAAACATGTTGATGCTTAAACTCTTATTTTGATCCACACTATTTATAAATTAAAATACAGGCATTAATGAACACATTTTTCATACCCTTTTATTTTCTTCTATCATTCATATATACCTTCATGCCTGTATTTATTTGTCTGTTTTTTACTTTAGCTTCATGTTTCATTGCTTATGTTTTGGCAGCAAGGATCACTCATTGTATCCTAACTTTTGTGAAGATGCAATCAGATTACTTCGATCGCATAGGATGTGCCGTACCTATTCTGAGGGTGCTTACTATGAGTTTGAGAGGTATAACAGATACCAAGTATCATTAGTTTATGACATTAGGCATAAATGCATAATGTACCAATCTGTAAAAAGCTGTCACTATTATTTTGAATGAGACATGAAATTCAAGGAATGTGATTTCCACAAAGTGAAGAGAAAATACTATTTTATAAAATGTATCTGAAGCACTTAAACTTTTGAGGGTGATATTTGTAGAATTCATGGCACACTATTAACAATTCAATATCAAAAATAATATTTTGGGTTTTGAATTCCTCTGATTTGTGAACTAGATATTTTCTATCTTTGATTCTGAATGGGATTGCAATCTCCCACTCAGACAGTCTGCAGTCTGCAAGTCCAGCTGGCAGTTGTAGCCAGGACAATACCATCTTGTATGCAAATGGTACATGTTCCTGGATCAGCAGGTCTTCATTTCTGTCACTCATGTCCTAGTCATTTCCCAGCTGGACTACTTCAACATGATTACATGGGTTGTAGTTAAAGATCATCCAGGAGTCATAATAAACTTAGAATGCCACACAGGAAGTCATGGGCACATCAGTGTATGCTCATGTAACAAACCTAATTCCCAAGCTGCACTGATTTCCTTGTTGGCTTTTGGGTGCAATTACAAATGTTAATTATCACATATAAAGCTCTACATGGAACAGGACTGTATATGAGACTGCTTTTCCCAAATGATATCTGCCTGTCCCACATGCTCTAGGATGGACACATTTCATGTCATCTGATGGAATCAGGAGAAGTGCCTTTTCTGTTGCAGCACCTGTTGTCGGAATGATCCTTCACAAGATAGGACTAGCACTGACCCTGATGAAAGCCAACTGAAACTTAATATAATTTAGATACAGAGCGGGAATGAACATTCTGCAGGCCTTGGATTTGTCATTTGCAGCCCCAAACTTTCCCAGGGTAATGGGTTCTTGGCCATTTTGATAGGAGAAATAAAAATCTAATGTAAGCTTCAATAGTATTTTCATACACAAACAATGAAGTCTGTGTGAAGTGAAAGCTGGACTGGAAAGCTTTGCAAGTTGACAGTCTAATTTATTATACATATAATAAATAAATAATTTCTGTGGCTGATGGTTGTTATAATTCCAGTGTTGATCAGAAATTATCTGCAAGTTGAAAATGAAGAAGTCAACTTTTAGATAGCTTGGATGTAACATCTTTAAGGATTTATACAACTAAATCAGTATCTTGGATCTGCTCAGAAACAAAAAGCATTTAAATTGTTCTACAACTGATAGTTACATGGCCTAAAAGGGCATCAAAGATAAAAGTCTACTTGGAGCATTTGCATTAGCTGAACTTACTGAATATTTTTCGAGGGCAGTTCCATATAGAATGATTTCTGTAATATAAATTAAAAATCATTAAATTATAAATGATCATGGCCTCATTTTTGGCCCCAAGTAAGAATGTAACTTGGACAACATTCAATTTATACTGAAAGTACATCCTGTTGGCTAGTATTATACCTATTACCTATCATTCCCATATTCATACTTTTATATACTACTTTTAAGCCACAGAATCTTTTGAAAAGGGTATCCACATTCCCCTTTATGCTATAACAGATTCTTCTTTGATCAATTGTATTAATTAATTTGAAAAAAAAAACATCCCTAGTAAGTAATATTGAATATTATGTGCAGTAGCATTTTACTGTTGCCTTCACCCCACCCTCTCTCATAGTCCTCAAGGTTGACTGACTTAATAGCTAAGCATAAAAAGGAACTAAGCTAAACATTTTAGTGAGAACCAGAACACATTACTTGAATAGTTGGAAATGAATATTTCATTTTTCCAAATCTTTAAAAGTTTACAAAAATTGGCTTGACTTGGTGAATCAACCATCAGTCTACATTCAGAGATAAGCGTTCATGATTACCTCATGTCGTGATTTCACTATACTGGATGTTTTGCACTACATATTGTTGACTGTTCACATCCCTCAGGAATAGACCAGTTCACATGATTGAATTTATGAAAGTCTTGCCATCATTGCTTTGTTAGTTGGGAGACAGAATGTCTTAACATAGTTGTTGAATGTAAGGTCATATGAGACTTGTCTGAATATGGAATTATTTGAAAAATAGCTGTTCTCAGGATACAAATTATTTTTGCTTTGTATTGTGCTAAAAGTAGCTTGATATTTGCTGGCCATTATCATGCATCAGCAGAAGTATGCAAGGCTATTCTAAAATATCTTTACTGTTTATTTTATGTTCAGGAGGAATAGGAAGGAGGGAAGAGAGCCTAATGCATATGTCGATGACACGTTTATTTCCCCTGCTCTCGAAAGGTATTTACTTATAGATAGATAGATATGTAAATAATACATATATTTAAGAATTTTAAAGAAGATAGTAGACATGGGCTTATAGAGTACGGATTATCAACTTCAGTCCCCTCATAGATGATGGGAATCTTAATTTGGTTTAACATACTATAGATATGATAGAAGAACATGCACTTTCAGGATGAGTAAGGCTAATCAGAAGTGTGCAAAATGCTTCGCATTAAAACCAATTTGAGCTAAAAACAGGCTGCTTTGACTTTTAATGATTTTGAAATTATTTCAAACGTATCTGATCTTGAATTGCTTTTTTGTGAGTGGAATACTGTATAAAATTGGAACACTTCTGGTGAAGCTTGAACAATCTATTTAATACCCAAGGTGATTAAATTTGAATTGTTTGCTCATCTCTAAGACAAACATAATTCATTACATTGGGTGGTCTTAAAAATGGCCAATGATGCTATATAAAGCCTACCATATAATATATTTAATATCTGTACGGTTTACTTCTTATATAGATATTGGCAATTTTATAATTTTCCTATTCTTGTTGCTGCTATTAATTATAACAGTATGCATATCACTTATCAGATTTATAGAGCAAAATTGTTTAATAAATAAATTTACCTAGACAAAATACAAAGTCTGTATTCAGAATTGTTCTGTTGATGGGAAGGCTTTATTTTATTTCCAGCAATAGGTACCATAAACAATACCTATTGCAAAGACTCATGATATATTTCTTCCATATCCCTTGCCTTTGCAGAGTTCTTGTGACAGCTACGGTATACTCACAATCAGATGCCAAATAAGATTGTGATGATTGTTAGGCTTTGCAGATTGTACCTGAAAAGAAAATGAGAGTCCTTTGGACCAAATGCTGTGTCAAATAAATATCATGTCATGTAACATTTCTGTCAAGACCTGACATATTTATTTATTTAGTTAAAAAATTTCACACTCTGCAAAGCAACTCTAGGTGGCTTACAATTAATAATTTTATATCATATATATATATATATATCATATATATCATATATATCATATATATCATATATCATATCCAGTGGTGGGATTCAGCCAGTTCGCACCACTTCGGGAGAACCGGTTGTTTACTTTCTGGGCAGTTTGGTGAACTGATTGTTGGAAGAAATCATTAGGGCAGAGAACCGGTTGTTAAATTATTTGAATCCCACCACTGATCATATCATATATCATATCATATTATATAAAACAATTATGTATTAGATAGTTAAATGACCTGACCAAAAGCTAATACTTTTAAAGAATAAAATATTTTAATTTTTTCCAAAGATTTAATTCCCCAAATGTATTTCAAGATGTAGTGAAAAGGATGTAAGGAGAACATTTGTGATCCTTGCCTGATTACTGAGATAAAAATACATCTCATAAAAAAAAATGTTTGGAAAATAACTTCATACTTATAACTTGTCTTTATTTTAACTGCATTGCAAAGGTATTACAATGGTGCAAGTTCATGGGCAGATCATGTAGTCAATGGTACAGCTGAAAATCACAGGTGAGTAAAGAGTAAAGTATTATGATTCTGTAATATAGGATATGTATTTAGAATACAGTATTATTTTAGTTTATATTTTATTTCTTCCCTTTTAAAACCCAATTCTATGAGCATTAGATTTTAGTAATATTTTTACAAATCCAGCTTTCCTTCAGATATAGATACCCTATATCCACAGGAATGCATGCAGTCCTCGGGTTCCCTTTAGTAGCCTTATAGGTTCTCCACTTATGGTTACTGAAAAGTAATTACATAGTTTCCTGCCATTTCAAGGTACTGGTAGGAACCTAATGAAATCTATAATGTAAGTCCTAATTAGTATATTGCCATTGAAAAAAAACAAGACATTCTTAGCCATCCAAAATGAATTAGGGCCTTGGCTACAACAAGATTGATCAGTTTAGTTATTATTTTAATTGTATTTGAGTATCAGGATTGTCATATGAAAAACTCAGTGAATGGATTCATCTTTTGAGTAGGAATTCCATGAAGGCTATAATCCCACTCTGATAGAGATTAGCAGATTTTCAGCGGAAATGTCAAAAATATTTTCATGTTTTGAGAAAGGGATTTGCTAGGCTTATTCTTCTATAACAGCCTAAAAGAATCTTAGTGCCTTAGATTAAAACAGTGGAAAGAAGATTGGGTCACAAGTTTACAATAAAAAAAAATGAAGGGAAAAAAAACACAATTTCTGGTATCGTTTCATGAAGTGAAGTAAATAGAGACCTTCCAAACATTTCTCAACTTCATGGACTAGAAGACCTTTAACATCCCTTCCAACTCTGTTATTCTGTTAATTCTGTTATGGACAGATTTATTTACCACCCAGTCTAATCTACAACCCTTGTATTTGTTAATAGAACTCACCTATCAATACATTTTATGATAGTGATGTATTGAAAATACCCCAAATAGGGGTACATAAAATTAGGTGTCACTTTAGACATAAGTCATGCCAATAACATAATTTCATTGACTTATTGTGGATAGAAAGAACGAAAGGAAAACTTGAAAAATTACATAAAAATGAATTGGAAGAAGTGCTTCAAAACTTACATAACTACAGTTAAAAAAAGCCAGAGTACTTTACTGAATAGTATACAGTGTGCTTGCACCACTTCTGAATACAAATAATCCTTCACCTATGACCAATCTTCAACAACCGTTGGACAGCGCTGAACAAATGGTGGTTACAACCAGTCCTCCAGGTTCAGGCCGTCTCATCCCCCACCCCCACCACACCCCATGGTCATTTGATTGTGATCTAGGGACTTGACAACCGGTTTTTCACTTACAGCTGGTTGCAGCCCTGTGCAATTACCTGATTGCCATTTTCAACCTTCCTTGCTAGCTTACACAGAAAGTAAATAATGAAGTCAGGAGGGATGCTGCAAAGTGCTGGGCTTAATCTCACCCAACAACACATGCTCCCTCACCTCTTCTTTGCTTACACTACACCAGCCACTTGTGCACCCTCCCTGACCAGTGCTAGGCCTCTCGCCCCTTTGTACCCCCTTCCCAATGTATGCTGCACCCCTCATGCATCTCTGAAATCCTGTGTACCCGGCCTGTGTGATTACTCTTTTACCTCCATGACCCTTCCTCCCACACAATTCCTGCTCCAACCGGCATTAACTGCTTGCCTGCCTGCTCATCTGGGACTTGCAACTTTTCGCCAGCTTCCTAATGACTTTGGTTGTGGGAAGCTGGCAGGAAGTTGCCTCACCTAATGATAGTGGGGTTTGGTTAATGATTGCTGCAGGGACTGCAGGGACTGCAGGAATTGCCATCACTTAGAGATGCATTGCTTAACAATGGAAATTATGTCCCAGTTGCCATTGTAAGTCAAGGACTACCTATACTTAGAAAATATTTTTGAAACATGCCGAGATAACTGCAGGAATTAGTCCAAGCAATCATGAGGACTCCAATCTGTCTCAAAGGGCACTTCCCTCCCCCCCGCAAAAAAAACCCGAGGTCTATTAAATCGAGTCAGTAGGTTTATGTAGTTTTTTAATAGATGTTTTGTACTTCTATAAATCTGCTGAAACATCCGTCTTGCCTTCAAATGGTCCCCATTTTGGTTCTGGGTTTTTTTGTACTACTAAGGTATAAATAAAGCCAATTGTGTTTACTTACCAAGATCCAAAACTGCATGTACTTTGTACAGAAACTTACAGTGGTGAAAAATACATTTTTGGACAAAGTAAATCATGTTATTATATAGATGGCAATTTCCTACTTTATTTTAATTTTTGTAGATGCTACGGACTATACATGAGAGTAGTTGAACACTAATGGATTATAATATATTCAAGCAATATTCATAATAAAGGAATTATACTGTTAAAGAATTGTAAAATATGGTGAGCTGTATAAGAGATAAGATTTTTATGTACTGTGATATTTTAGGTGCCTTGCATACTATTCTCATATGCATAAAGAATATAAAATTATGTAAAGTAAAAAGATCTGATGTCAGAATATATTAGATTTTAAAAAAATCTAAGTAAGATTAAGCTAAATATTAGTGTTTGTTAATGTAAAGTTTCAAAGATTCTAAAATCTAGATTTTTATTTTTCTGTCTCTAGATTCCTAACAGACTATATTAATTTGTTACAAAGTCGCCATAAAAAGAAAATATTTTTGTAATTGTTATTTGCTTCAAATTCATAAATTTTTGCTGCATATTTTGAAAGGGACTTTCTTGCTTTCTTTAATTTTTGCTTAAGAACCCTCACACAGGCATGGCAGAAGAGATAGAATCCTGCAGGTGTAGTGAAGTTCTGTAGCAACATATGCAGTTTGATGTATTATCTATGTATATGGCAGAAATTATATATAAGTATTTTTTTTGTGACTCTGGATATTTCACCAGATTTTAAAATAAGTACTCTCTCTCTCTTTGTGTGTGTGTGTGTGTGTGTGTGTGTGTGTGTAAATTTTGGGTATTTGAATTAGTAGTATAAACTTTAATTGGTAACTATTATTTTAAAAGTAATTCAGCCAAGTTATACAATATTGTATTATTTTAATTTTGTTTCTGAGCCGTGGTGGCGCAGTGATTAGAATACAGTATTGCAGGTTAATTCTGCCCATTGCCAGGAGTTCAAGCCTGACAAGCTCAAGGTTAACTCAGGCTTTCATCCTTCTGAGGTTGGTAAAATGAAGACCCGGATTGTTGGGGGCAATATGCTGAGAATTGTAAGCCCCTCAAAGAATGCTGTAAAGCAGTATGGAGCAGTATATAAGTCTAAGTGCTATTGCTATTGCATCTTAACAGTTGGTTAACTTTAGAAATTTGTTTATACCAGTAGTTATTAACATTGTGCTAACAGGTTATCTTATATCTGTGACCACCAGCAAAATTCCAATAGCTAATAGAAGAATAGCATGTCCAAGGATTGAAATCCAACAGTCTTCCCCAGATACTGACAGGTATTCCTAGTAAAAAGTATTTGGGTTAGATTAAGTTTGTGACTCCTAGGCATAATTTGTGTGTTTTCTCTTGTAGTGCTTCCATTGTCCCTAGAAATATGTATGTATCTGATCATTAAAATGCACCATAATTTGCTGCATTTTAATGTTTTTATTTGACATTCATTGCTTTTGTTGTTTAATTTGAACATAACATATAACATGCTAGGTGTCATTCACAGAAAACAAAATGCAGTGCAAAAGAAAGGCAGATAAATATTTTTGGAAAGCAATGAATTGTTTCTATTGTTTCATCTTTGTGGTTCCTGTTTGTTTAGTTTAAGAGTCTATACTTTAAAAACTTTGGCCTTGATGAATTCAACTTTGTTCTACTTATTCTTTTGTGTCTGCAATTTTCTACTTATTTATAATATCAATAATATAAAGCTCAAGATAACCTCCATTGTTTTATTTCAACATTAGCAAAGTAATTTTGCAAATTCATTTCATATCATGAGACATTTTAGCTAAAATATTTTTTAACTAATATCATTTAGTTCTTTTGAAGGACTTGGCAAATACCTAAATCCTAAATTCCAGATGACTTTTAGTCCATTAAAACTATACATATTTTATATGCTCAGTTAAAAAGTATAAATATGTACAGTACTATTTCTTGTTATTGTATAGATCTTCAACCAACTGATAAGATAATTGGACGTGTAAACAATTTTCATAATGCAAAAAATTAACTGTGACTACTTTATGTTTTTATTCTTACATAGCTTTCAGTCATTAGTCAAACTATAAATTATGAATGAATTGTAGGATTTAAATTCACTTTATATTGTTGGAAAGCATTTCAACATAAAATGAAACAAGAATTTTCTCTGAAAGTTTTTAAAATTTAAGAAGTAATAGCAATAGATTAGAAATTAAAAGGAATGCAAAATATTTTAAATGAGATTGTCTACTCCAAAATGGTTTAGGGTAGCTGGTTATAACTGAGAAAATAAGTGTTCTCTTATCTTTATATGGATGACTTCCTTTCTGAAATTGGCACCTCTTTTTTATATTAAGCTCCTTAATAGATAATAGATAGATAATAAAATCAACTTTTTCCTATTGTTTATATTCCATTACTTCAGATAAATTTTAAAATGTTTTGGGACCCTGATAGACACTTTCATTTTTTTTTCATTAAACTGCCTTGCAGCTAGTCAACCAATTGCAAGTTAAGGTTACTTTTCAGTTTTGGTATTAAAGAAGTGAAACAATGGATATGTTGGCAGATCAAGCTTTCCATTCAGAAAATGTGCATACAGATTCAGAAAAAAATATGAGGTAATTTTTGCAAATTTGTCTGAGGATAATTCAAGATTCAAAAACTTTTTCATTTGCAAATGAATGCAATTTCATCTTCTGATTAAAATATGAATCAGTAGTATTCTAAGCTATTCTTACTATTTGAAGTGCAGAAATTGGAATGGCTACATTCAGGGAACTATCTGCCATTTGGTAATTTGCTGCTGGGTTGCCACATTCTTGTTCGGATTTGCAACTGAATAGAGCCAGTTAGTCTAGTGGTTGAAGGCACCAGGTTAGAAACCGAGAGTCTGTGAATTCTAGTACTACTATAGGCATACAAGTTGGCTAGGTAATTTTGGGTCAGTCACTCTCTTTCTCAGTCCATCTTGCTTCATAGGCTTATTGTTGGGGGAGAACAGCACTAGGTATGTTCACCACCTTGAGTTGTTTTATAAAAATAATAAAGGCAGGATAAAAATAAATAAATTCTAATTAAATATATTCCCTCGCCCCACATTAAGGAAATGTTCAAAATTATTTTATAGTGTTCTCCTATGCTTGTTGCAGGGGTATCTCTCCTTCCTTATACACTTTTGATACTGGCATGTCAAGAGCTATACAATTGAACTCATACAGTTTAGTGTGCTTAAACTATTTTATGAATACAGGGATTCAAAATACAGGCATTTCGAATCTTCTACCAATAAAACCCTCAATCATTTTATTGATAGGAAGGTAATCTGTTGTCGGAAATCTGTTTTTAAAACCCTGATTCTATATAGGCTTCCTTCCTGACACTTAACCTTTCTTTGCTGATCTTACAATCAAACATGAATGCCTGTTTGGAGCTTAAAGTGAAACGATCATTTTGATCTTTTCTGTGAGGCTTTCATATACAATCAAATAGAAGGAACATTAATCAGTTGATTTGTATTTGCAAAGAGATCAGTTGAAAGTGTTGAACTTTTGCAATAGAGAGCTGTTCTATATATTCTTTATTTATATCTATGTTATCTATATCAATATTGGTTTCTGTTCTTCATCAGAAAACCTTTACTTTAGCGAAGTTTGATGTCTTACTTATTAAAATGCTCAAAGGAAGACACAGTTCTCCTAGCGTATTGCTGCACTGTTCTTTTTATTATATCTAGCACTCCTAATAATATTTCTTTAGTAGGCCTTAAGATGAAGTATAGGTAGTTCTCGACTTGTGACCACAATTGGAACCAGAAATTCTGTTGCTAAGTAAGATAGTTCTTAAGTGAATCATGCCTGGTTGTTGTTGTTGTTGTTTTGCCATGGTCAAGCAAATCACTGCACTTGTTAAGCGAGTCACTAAGGAAATCCAACTTTAGCATTGGCTTTGTTTGTTGGAAGCCAGCTGGAAGGTTGCAAATGGCAGTAATATGACCCTGCAACCATTGTAAATTCATGTCAATTGCCAAGCGCCCAAATTTAGATCATGTGACTGTGGGGATACTATAGCAATTGTAAGTGAGAGGACCAATTTTAAGTCACTATTTTCAGTGCCATTCAAATGGTCACTAAAGGAATGGTTGTAAGTCAAGGACTACTTGTAATATATATTTTTATCACAGGATCAGTTCACTAATATCTTCACGAAAATTGGTTCTGTTGAAATTTGCATCAGCAGGCAAGAATTTGACCCTAGAGTCTTTTTTATATTATTTTTTTTAAACGAATGTGTATCACTTCTGTGTATATTCGACTCTCACTTTTTTTCTCTTTTGACAGTAAATAAATAAGCAATAACATTGTAGCACATTTTTCAGTTACTTTAAAAAAACCTAAATAAACTTTATTGAATCAGACACTTCCCCCCCTGCATTGAGTTTCTCTAGATGATGCTTTACTGAAAAAAAATACAAGTTATGAAAAATTCAAATCAATTCTATACTAAAGGATAGCTTTTGAAACACATTTTGCAATTTTATGACCTCTTTGTAATACAACTATCTAGTGTTCTTTTGTTCTCTTTAATACGAAATTTAAATTTTGTTTTCTGTATAGATAAAACTTTAAATCTTCAGTTGAAGCTAAGTTCATGAGTTAAAATAAATGTATGACAGTATTTAATTGTTTTCTCAGTCAATATGTTATCTTTATTGAGAGAAAACTTTACAGACTGTAAGGATCTTTTAATAACACACTGTAAAAATCCTACTATATTATAGAACCAGTTTGCAGCCATTGCCTAAAATTAATTTCTGCTGCAGTAATTTTGAATAATTGTTTGAATAATTTTCATATTTTTCCATTTGGTTTCTTGGATGCCCTTGAATCTGATGTGTTGGATCTTTTTTGCACAAAAGTACAGCTTATGCCATATGTGCATATGTCAAATACTTTGTTCAATAACAAATACGTTTGTTCTCATTTAAAATTGTTTAATTCTTGCTACAGTTATACCTGACAGTTAAACTAATACACAGTAAATGAGAAATGTTATTCAGGATTTTTAAAATCCTTTGTGCATATTTAGTGATCCTGTTGAAATGAACCACCATAAATAACTGCTGACAGATAATGGAATATATGATTTTTTAAAAAAAAACATTAATCTGTTTAATATTTCTAGAAAACTGCATCGTTTCTTTTGAATTTTGAATTTTCCCAAAATAGTAATGCGATTTAATGCAAAATTAATAGTTTTTATTCCACTGCATTATTAAACTGTCTAAATAATTTTCTTCACATGACCATTTTAAGGAAGTATACTTCTTTTTACCCACTTAATATTAGCAAGAAGAAAACTTTAAAAAGTTATTAAAATTAGCTTATGTTGGATAGCTCCAAATCCAATGTGCTGCAGCAAAATGCATAACCACAGATAAAAGTCAATTGAGCTGCTTTTTGACTAACATTACAGGAATTGGGAACCTAGACTACCATATCAAAGATCCAGATCAACAGAACAGCGTCCAGTGCTAGAGCGGCCCAGCCCCCGCTCCCGATCCACTGAGCGTCCTGAGTCAAACCTCATGAGATCGATGCCTTCATTAATGACTGGAAGATCTGCCCCTCCCTCACCTGCATTATCGAGGTGAAACAGACGGATTAATCCTGCCCCACCAGCTCACTTTTTTATTTTTCAAAACTTCAATAGTATTTCCTTTCATCATTGGCTGATCACAATAGTTGTAGATACTAACCCTGCCAACGTCAACACACTATTTATATTCCATCGGGATATAATGGTGTGGCTGCCATTGTAATTTGTTTACTAACAATAATTAATAACAATTACTTACATTTGTTTGTGATTTCTCATTTATTAGGAATCCTGCGTGATTTCTTACTCTCAAACACTTCATAATTTCTCATGTATTTCTCTTACAGAAGAAGTAATTAAATGTGATCATCAGACATCGCTTATGGAATAATAATCATAACATCAAATAATACTTTAAAAATAGTTTCTTAAATTTGTACTAATTTGATATATTAATCACTGTTTTCTCTTATTTGCTGTGTGCATGTTTTGCATTTGTCTTGTTTTTGTAACATATTTTATTCATGATTACACAGTGTTGATTTATTTAGTTGTTTTTTTATAAATAATGGAATGAAATTGGAGAAGATATTTGTTAATCTAATTTTGTCCAAATCAGATTATTGTCTGGCTTCTTTGCTTTTCTATAGTGAATTATAAGAATCAGTAACAATGATGTTATTATTTCATTTCACTCATTGAAATATACTTTTGTTTTATTGCCTGTCATCAAATTCATGGCTGTGTAAATCATCATCTCAATATTAGTTGGAATTTGAAATGTTTGTTAGTTGAACATGGAAATAATCATATTTATACATATACTTCTATTTTTTTTTTACTTTCTTTCAGTATGTCTCAGTATGCATATACCTCTACATATATTTCTTTATATGGTTAACATATGCAGTTACAAAACATATTCTGTGCCATCTTTCAGTATTGTTTCCCTTAGCTTCCAGATAAACCTTATTGGTAACTATGCTTTTTAAAATCTTTAAGGTTGAATTGTCATCATTTCAATTAAAGTACAACATGCACAAAAGCCATTAATCATTCCTTTGTTCTCAAACTACATAAGAATAAATATATGTTGCAATTGATGGTTTCTGTTGATGTGTCCTGTAGGTCACATGCTCATTCGGGATCAGTCCAAACAAGCCCATCAAGTACTCCGGTGGCAGGACGCAGGGGTAGACAGTTGCCACAACTCCCCCCAAAAGGGACCCTGGAGAGAAGTAAGTGAGCATTTTAAATTAAAAGAAATTATAGGAAGTTAAAAAAAGAAAATAGTTTTATATTTTAAAAACATTTGAATTTTAATTTGTCTTATTTCCAGAGCTCTGAAAATGTAGGTTAGAATTTTATCTTTAAAATGGCATCACTACTGTCTTTTAGAGGGTTGCAAATGCTTATTAATTTTATTCAATTCATAGGAATTTGGACTTTGCAGGATTGTTGTACTATAGGAGCCATATAAATATTCTAACAATGAAAATAATGTATGAATAATGTATGTATATATCACAGCTAAAATTTATGAAGCAGTTTTTGATACTCTACCTATAACGGTAGACTGATTCCACCTGTGTGAATCAGTTATAGATGACAACATAAATTAAGCTGCGTATTCTAAAAATATATTAATTGTTCAGAAGTTTCTGGGATAGAGTTTATATATGAATATTGGAGGAAAATGATTGTTCAGTGCTACTATGAACAGCCAAAGAATGTTATATCAAAATTTGATTGTTTCGCTTAGTTAAAAATGAATAAATAGCCCACATTATAAACTGCTGGGTAGGTGACATCACATTTCTAGCCTAAATCACTTTCTCAGAACCCAGATATAGCTGAGTAACAGAGTGACAAACCAATTTTATTCATAGTTTATTTAGAATATTCTCCTAGCTAAATGGAAAAAAGATTGAAGATCTGGCTGCTAAATAGTCTTAAACTGATTCTGGATATAAATCAAACTTTTAAAAAGTTTTAAATTCAGTGAATGTTTTTAAAACTTCTTCAAGTGAAGAACACAATTCCTACACAGTAACAGTGTAAGAAGAAATACAATTTATCACTGAAAAAGAGCTTCCAGGTATTTTAAATACAAGATTATCCTTTAATCTCTTAATTTTTTTAAAAAATGTGGTTTTCCATATTTTTATAGAATCTGTCATAATACAGACTCTGTCTATAAAGACATTTTAAAAAACTATTTAAAAATCACATAGAGTCATTGTGTATATCACAAAAGAACATAGAATATAGAGCTGGAAGGGGCCTTGGAGGTCTTCTAGTTTAATTCCCTGCATTTTATGAGATTTTTCATTTGTTTTGTATATTACAGTGGTATAACTTAATTCCCTGAGATAGATAACTTCAGAGAACCATTAAATTCACTTTGCATTTTACTTTGTCTTTTTTTGTTTGAAGATGTTCACAACTGTTAAATGTTACATCATATAAAATATAAACATTTTCATTAGTAATAATTATTAAAAATTGGATTTTTAATTTATAAAAAAAATTAAAGTATATGTTCTTTTGTAAATAAGAATGTTATAAGGGCACCATGGCCTTAATACAGGTAATTCTCGACTTACAACCACAATTAAGCCCAAAATTTCCATTGCTAAACCACACAGTTGTTAAGTGAGTTTTGCCCCAGTTTATGATCTTTCCTTGCCACAGTTGTTAAATGAGTCACTGCAGTTGTTAAGTTAGTAACACGGTTGTTTAATTAATCATTGACTTTGCTTATCAAAGGGTTGCAAAAGGTGATCACATGACTCCGAGACATTGCAACCATCATAAATACATGCCAGCTGCCAAGTGTCCAAATTTTGATCACATGGCCAAGGGGTTGCTGCAATGGTTGTATGTGTGAAAAATGGTCATAAGTCACTATTCAGTGCCGTTGTGACTTCGAATAATCAGTAAATGATTGGTTGTAAGTCAAGGGCTCCCTGAATACACATAATTCTTTAAAAGATGTAGATTAATAGAATCCCTTTCAATCAGCATTCAGGCTTATTTATTTTTTCAATTTATATGGGCACCCATCTCTACCCTATTACTCTAGATGGATAACATGGAATAAAAACAAAATAAGAACATCATAGCACAACAATAATTAATAAATGTAGAGTAAGAGCCAAAATAAAATCAGCACTGTATGCAACATATTCAGGATACAATCATACACCACAGGCTCAAGCTTGGCAATAAAACCAGGTTTTAAGAGCCTTATGAAAAGCCAGCCGGGTCAGGGCAAATATAGTTCCCAGAGGAAAGACATTCCAGAGGTTGGGCATCATGATACAAAAGGCTCTCCTTTGGGGATCAGTCAGATGACATTTTTTGATGGGACCTGGAGCATATCTCTCTTCCTAGATGTTGCAGGACAAGTAGATACAATTTCGGTGAGATGATCCCACAAGTAATCCATAACATGTAGGGCTTTATAGGTCACAATCTGCAACTTGAATTGAACCCGGAAGCATACAGAAAAGAGATGCCACAGGTGCTAAATGAAAACCATCCACAGCTGCCTTTGCTGCTGTATTTTGCACCAGCTGAAGCTTCTAAATGCTCTGAACGGGCAGTCTTATCTATTGCAGTAGTCCAATTGGAAATTGATCACAACATGAGTGATTGTGAACAGAGCCCGGTCAAGGAACAATCAGTGCACAACATGTAGCTGTGCCAAAACTCTCCTAGCCATTGCTGACACCAGTTCTTTGAATAACTTCAAATCCATGAGTACTCCCAAATTACACATTGGTTCTGTCTGCAGTCCACATCGGTTCTGTAGTGTAGTCCCCATCCAGACCAAGAAGTGAAATGTCTCCAGAATCCAGAGGTCCTAAAACCCAAAGCCACTTGAGTTGAAACCTGTTGTTCCCCGTCTGGACCCCCACAGCCTCCAGATAAAGACAGGATGTTCACAATATCATCATTGGCTGGCCCAGAGTGGAGATGTCTTCACCCAAACCCTCAGATGACATCACCCAGCAGCTTAAATGTTGAAAATGTTAAGTAGAGAGGAGAGAGTATCAATTCTTGCAGCATCTCACTAAACAGAGTCAGACTCAGTATAAGTGCTTAGATATCACTTCCAGTTTGCAGTTATAGGAGATGTCAGTTTGGGGGTTCCTCGCCTTTAAATACCATAAGGTTTGATCCTTCCTCACCCATTGTATGTCATGTGCAAGAAACTACTGGAAAAAAATCATTCATCGGTTTGGGGATTAGTATCATTTGAATGCTATTGATATACAGCTGCTATACTGGGGATGCTGGGGAAGTCTTGTCTTGAAAGCAGTAGATGTCTGGATGGTCGAAAATGGACCTAAGCAAAATGGAGTTACTGTTGATTCATTTGTAATTCTTGTTTCTCAAAGGGAAAGCACTACCCTTGAGGAAACAGGTCTGTCCTTGGTGGCCTGCTTATAAATTCATAGCTACTCCTGGTTGGGCAAGGCAGAGGCTATGGCCAGGAGGATATTTACTCTGTTTTAGTTGGTGTGCCATTTGCAGCCCTAACCATAGCATGAAGATCTTAAAACAGTAAATCATCTTCATTAATAAACATTTGGATTATACCCACTCTGTGTTTAGCGACTGAGTTTCATTTGAATGACTAGGTCATCAAGTAAGAACAAGACCAGACTGAGAGAGAAACAGAGACAGAGATACTGCAAAAATTGCTGTTTACTGTCATTTCATTGAAATAAAATTATCCTGTATAGCTATGCCCACATCACTCTTATTCTAGCATGCATTGTTGACAAGTATACAAAATTTGGTTGTAAATGCATTGGTTAGGAAATTATTATTTTTATTACCATTGTATATGCAAACATTCACTAACCAAGGTAATCCACTAAATAGGAGTGGGCGTACTGCAATGTGGACTATTTGAAACTGAAAATTACTTGGAAACTACAATTTGCACAAAATGCAGTTGTCTGTTTAGAGACAGGCATTATACAACAGCTATATTTCACACCACTGCTTATAGATTTTGCATTGATTGCCAGTAAGTTTCTAGATGCATGTAAAATTCTGGCTTTGGTCTATAAGACCCTATATAGCTTGCTGCTAAGAAATTTGCAGGACTGTCTTCTTCAACCAGAATTTGCCTTTCGGGAGGTTGCTCATCTCAGGCCAAGTGCTTGGTTATAACCCATTTGAAAGGAGCTGAGGCTAGAAAGCATTCTTCTGTTAAAGGTTGGTAGAGATTCTCAGTCATCCAGGTCATGGTTGTCCCAAAGGTGCTTTTTCAGGAGGCAACTGGATACCCCACTATCCTGTGAGAGCTGAAGAAGCTTCTTGGATGAGAAGCGAACCGTCTTCAAAAGAAAAAACAAGAAAGTCCAGTTGCATCCTGAAAAAGTACCTTTGGGACCTTCATCTGTTGTAGCCTCTTTCTTATGGATCAGGTTACTCTTGGAAATGAGTCTTGCCTCATCTGTTACAGCATGCTAGAAGTAAATAAAGGTAGAGCCTTTCGGGAGGTTGTCCAATAATTAATGCATGATACCATGTTTACTAATTTTATTACTTTTCTTTTTAATAATGACTGTTCTTTAAGAATTATTTTTATTACTTCATTTTAGATTGATTTGAGGTTATTATGGAAGATTGAATGGCTTTTGTTGGTATTTTTCATGAGTGCTGTAATGATTGATTTACAATTATAAATATGTGGATCTCTGGCAGATATGGTAATTTACTAAAGGAATAAATACAGTATATATTGCATCCACATAGTTGCTATGACACAAAAGCTGATAACAAAGTTTCCCAACCCATTGGAGAAATATTTGGGGAAATTAAGAGGGTTGCTAGCAGCCATTCATCTGCTTCTAATATTTGTGTTTGTGCAATCTATTTTAATGAAGACACATTTCTTGCATTATAAATAATAAATACATAAAGTAATATTAGCAACTCTGTTAAAAATTACTACTGAAATTCAGTGATAACTTAATTAGCTAATTTATTTTCTTATTTTGGATGTTAAAATTGAAGAATGCTATTGAAAATGTAAAAAAACAGGATATTGTTTGTGATATACCAATGAATAGAAAAGTCTAAACTATTGATTAAGTGTTGATTTTATCTCTGGTTAAAACAGTTTTAATTTTCTCTCATATTTGGAATAAAATGCTATAAATAGTGATGTATCAAACTTCTGGCACTCTGTGGAAAAGCCCTTTGTTTTTGCAGT